CTGGTCAAAATGAATTGTCATGACGGCAATCAGTGGCGCGTTTGATACCCCCCGTGCATCAGCCAGACTTGGTTCATTATTTCACCTCCCGCTGGGTCCAGCGCCCGCTGTTCCCAGCGTGAGGAAAAGAATTTGAAGATTGCACAAAAAAAATGAAGGAAGGCAAAGATTGAAGCAAATTAAAACATGAGGCGGATTATTACAGCCACCTTTGTTATTGCCCCACGGAAACGGTTTCTCTACCTCATTAAATTCAGTTTCCCATCTTCATATTTTTGGGGCTCTCTGCGGAGCTTTTTTATTACTAGACGTCTATTTTAAAAGATGGGGGGGAAACCCATTGCCTCAGTTTCATCATTTAACCACTCAGATGGTTGTCGGCCAGTCTTTGTGTGCCTGACCTGAGCTCTGACGCAGTCAATTATGAGCCAAAGACAGGATTTATTTATGGCGCATGGATTTGATGTGGCCGGCCAGCTGAAGCGGCGCCTTTTTAAATTATTATTATTATTTGAATTCAAACTCATGATCCCTGCAACTTACTTCCCGGCCATTGACCTTAAGTGGGGGTCAGGGAGCCTACACACACACACACTCACAAAGCATTGTGGAGCGTCATGCAATTCATGGATTTCCCTAATAGCTCTATCATGGTGTGCGCCCTCGGGGGGGGGAGCAGTAAAAAGAAATTGTGCTCGGGTGGTCAGGAGAATGTCATGATGGGGTTTAAGGGTGGGGGCCGTGAGAGAGGTATAGGTTGATGCACACCTCTGGTAATTTGGTGAAACTACCACACATCTTCCTTTTAGTCTTCACAGCATAAAACAATGTCCTCACACAGTTGTGGTCAAGGTCTCACGTCCTCTTTTGCCGCGTCATTGTGCGATAAGTCACGGTACCGAATTCCCACGGGTGGCTTCATTGACTATAACGCAGCTTTTAACACAATAGTCTTTGACCTTTATTGATGAACACGAGTGACTTAAAGGCCACAAGTCGAAAATAATCAAACCTAATCGGCAGTTCCAAGCATAAAGTCGGTCATTCATTTTGGGCCCCGTGCCTGAAACAATCAGAGTAATTAGAGATCAACGGCGCACGGAGCTGGAAAGACAAATGTCAGATGCATTTGCGAAGTATCGCCACGCACAACACGGCGACAATGAATCACCTCTGTCATGTGGCCTGAGGAGACCCTCGTAGGAGGCCCCTCTTCGTGCCATCTGTAGCGCTCGTGGCCACGCGCGGGACAGATAGTGTGAGAATTACAGTGACCAGGAATCAGGAACATTTATTGCCGGAGTATGTTAGACATACAAGGAATTTGACATGGCGGTTGGTGCGTACATTGGACAGAAAGAATAACAATAACCAGACGGTTGTAAAAAATCTGCAATACAAGTAGTGACCATGGTTGTTAGGTACATGTAGCACGGTAAAAAGTACACATTGTATATAGCTGGGAAATTAAGGGAGATATAACCCGGCCAGAACAAAGTACTTGAGAGGAGTAAGTAGCTCAATATTGTGGGGGACACCTGTAGCAGAGGGGTTGACGTGCCAACCATGAACCCCAGCGGTGGACCTTTTAGGTCACTACCCATCTTATTTCCTGAGAGTCGATGTACAGAACTTAATAAGTATGAATAATTAGTAAACACTTGTCCGTAGCTACTTTCCTCCACTGGGCATTGGCTGTAGTGACGCGAGCAATGTCTCCTCTGAGGTGACGACTCTGTTCAGCATTTCACATGAAAAACTGGAATTAATCAAATTAGAGCTAAAGCCCAGAGGCATTAATCTCTTCTAATACTAAATCCTGCTGATTGATTCTGGCAAGGCGCCACGGTTCCCATTGCTGAAACAGTGGGAAACGAGTGGTTGGCCGTTCCATTTAGAGGACCCAGAGGAGGTCGGACTAGATGTGCCGCTGATTCATTCTCCGTCCAAACCTGTCGCTTTGAGCCAGTGGACAATTATGAAAATCCTTACAGCCTCAAGCACAAGACAGCCTCTCAAAGACACACACAGTCTCAGATCGCCCACGTGTGGTGTTTAGAGAGCCCTCTGCAAGCACGCCTTCAATCTCAATTCCTCCTCCTCCTCCTCCTCCTCCTCCTCCCCCCCAGCGCCTCCTCTCTTTGGCCCAGTCCTGGAGGACACTCACTGAATCGCTGTTCTATCTCCACAACAACTTAGAACATCAATGGAGGCAGAGCTTAAAAACTAATACCTCTCCTCTGATAGGTGTGGGTGGTGGTGGTGCTGGGTGGAGAGAGGGGAGTGCAGCTGCAGCTCGCCATGCTGAATCACTAATGGGGGCTTTATGGTGGTGCAGCAATCGTCTGAATCCTGGGCGCGCCTCGTCCAGCTTACGTCTTCCCCGCCTGCCCCCCACCCACCACCCCGTGGTCTCTGGTTAGAACCGGGGCATTTCAGGAGGCCACAATCCTTCACTTAATAAGCTCATTATTTCACACAGTGTTGGTCCTTTGCTCCTCCACCTCGGCGGCAGGGAAGGAGGCGTTTGATGTGTTCCCCTGTCAGAGAGGCTCTGACAGGGGAACAATGATAACGGATCAGCTAATGAGATGGCCCTTGCTTACATGGGTCCTAGCGGGGACGCTGGGTCGTCGCCATGAATATTCACGGGCTGTCTCGGAGGAAGAGGTGGCAACCGGGGTCACTTTAGAGGGCAAACCAAGGGCGCTTCTAAAAGGAGAAGAAAAATCTGCCTCAGTCGTCAGCCGAATGGCCGCGAGACACCCGAGAATCACAGCCAAGCGGATCACACGACCTGCGATGTGCAGAGTGGATTTTATTTGTATACGAGTTTACCAGAAGCCTTTGGAGCATCTAAAAGAGGACATTAAATGTCAGGGCTCAACGGTTTTCTCGCCATTACCGAATTCCCCTCTTTGGTGCATTTACCCCGAAGCGCTCCATTGCCGCTGATGGGATCTTTTTGTTGTGTGAATGCTACAGTACGAGGGCTGCAAATCGCTGTTATTTTCATACGCAGGGATTTTCTTAAATCCATATATTTGTCAAATATCAATAATACTGAGTAAAGAAACAAGAAAACTTTCACTTTTGTTTGATTAAAAGTCTCTCAAACTGATTTATCAATTATGTAAATGGTTGATCAATAGTGGGAACTATATAGTGTACAATAACCACACATCTCTATACAGCATCAACCTCGGATGCCTCTCAAACTGAATTACACCTCGCAAGAAACATTGTTATGCACCGTGTTTCTGAGAGTCCCGGGCTACATCTCTATGTGGAACCAGCACGAAGAATATTCTGCATCTCACAGGAGGAAGCTTCCGTCTAGCAGTAAAAATCAATGGCGTGGTTACACTGAGTGGAATTGACTGAGTGTGAAATTGCAATCAAACGGCCACTACTACCCTCATCCAACTAGATACTACGGAGATAAATTACGTTTACAAACCCCCCCTGAAACTCCCTTCACATTGTTGTATTACGCGTTTGAGTTGTGCTCTTATCGAGGGGAAAATGTACTTCTCGTGAAATGTGATTTTGCATCCCGACTTGAGAGTGAGCTTTCCATTTTCAGAGCCAGGATTCATCCACCGTTTGTAAGGCGAGATTTATGGGGTCCAACTGATTTGTGTAGTTGCTGAACGGGACAGCCGGGTGTCACATGCACTCGGTGCAACGCCCCTTTGTCCTTGTGCCTTTTTTCTTTTCCTCAAGGCCTCTGCAGAACAAACGCACAAAATACCATGTCAAATATCCAAGAAAATACACACTTTCTAGTCCAGAATTTTGTTCAGTTGCACAATAATGGGTTTCAAATGCCGCCTGGAGGTGCTACTGGGAAAGTGCGAAAAAAGGACAACACCACCAGCCGCGACGAACCTGTAACAACCGCCAGAATAAACACCTCTGAGAAGGAACCAATTAAACCATTGGAGATTTCAATTACCACCTCAATGAGCTTCTACAGATCAATAACAAGCGTCTAGCTTGGTGATGCGGTCATGACTATGGCGGGTGGGGTGTTTCCCTGGCGATAGCGCACCTCTCTGTTTGGATGAATATTCATTTAGTTTCCCTTCGACGCTGTGAACTGATATCAAAAGAGGCGCGTTCCTACATGAGTGATCATTCGGAGGTCGCAAGATCAAATAAGCACAGCGGCGCCGGGACAAGATTACAAAATGCCACGCTCCGCCTCCTCGGTCCGAGAGCATGCTGCTCTGAAACAACACTATCTGGGCAATGCGCTCCACCCCCCCTCAACCGAGACGTGTTTAAGTGTGTGACGGGGGTTAGCCGATCTCATCACTTAGGTGCGGTTATGGCCGACGTCTGGAGGGGCCCCCCCTCGTGCAGGTTGCCATCACTTCCAGCCTCAAATTGGAAGTGACAAGCCACTCAAGCAGAGGTGTCTTCTCTCCCTCCCCTCCCCCCGCTCCATCAGCATCCATGCAGCCCCACTCAGAGCTGTCAGCCTGATTATGTATCAGGAGGATTGAGAGGAGGAAAGGTGTGTGTGGGGGGGGGATGTCCAGCTGGACACGCACCGCTAAACACGTCGTCTGTCCGGCTGACGCACATCTGCCAGTAGGCGTGGCACCTGTCCTCTATGCGCCTCGGAACCAATCCGGATGTCTCCATCACACTGCTGCTGATCACTCGGGAGGCCGTATTTGTCCCCCCCGTTTCTTCACCTGTCTCGTCCTCACTGCTTGCTACCCGGAGCAACTTTTCATGCCTGTGGCAGCTCATTACAGAGAGAGAGCTACCAGTCTTAGACTCACAGATCAATGGTGGGTTTCCTGGGGATCAAAAGTAGATCTCCGCTAAGTGATAGGAGGCGTTCAATTACTGGGTGCTTTGATGCGTCGGAGGCTTCCTAACTCACACATACAACGACAGGAAGAAATAATAAATATATATATATAAATATAAAAAAATGTTGTTTACTCAGAATGCTGATTTCTCTTTTCTCTCCCTCTCCCCAGGCATGAAGCTCAGAAGCAGTCCACGGCAGTCCAGAGAGGTACGCGTTTACCCCGAGTGATCTGTTGCTAAAGAAAAGAGGGGGGATTGTCGGCCTTGTTCTTCTCAGCGGGTCTTATAGTGTCTTTATAGAGAGGCTGACCTCGCAGACTGCACCGTGTAAACAATCACAGTCGAATTGGGCCTCGGTTCAGCCCTGTGTGACCACACCTGGCGCTTCCACAGCAGAAAACCTGCACCCTTATGGTTTCCATCCATTCTGGAGGAATAGCAATCAGCATTTGTAAAAACTCACTCGGCTTCATAGGAGGCTCATTTTTCCAGTCTGGGTTTTAAAACATCCGGGCCTTTGATTCTCCATCCCTTATTGGACATGCAACTTAATATTTAGAAGCCGGCTCCTGCGTTTTTGGACCGGAATTTGGCACAGAGAATCTTGTGTGCTCGAGCAAAAGTCTATTAAGTAAAAATGAGGTAACATTGTCACTAATTAGCATTAGAAAGTCACAGAGAGCTTTGAGGTTCAGATGGACGAGATGACATCATGTTGTACTCAGAGACGGGATCTATGACAGGATTTTTATTATGGCGCTTGCAGTACTGTAAGGTTCTTTTGGCTGACCCCTCCCCCCCGCTTGCGCTCGTCTCTGGTGTGACCGGTGGCACCAATAAGAGTCACCAACTCGTGACGTCTGGCGCATCGGGTTCCTGCTTCGTGCTCATCCTTGCACATTAAACAGACGGGGAGGAGCCTCTCTTTTAGTTCCTCTGCCCCACCTTCCCTTCCAGATGTCCCTGCGGAATATGGCCAATTAAGTCAGGAGGGGTGAGGAGGGGGGTGTAGATGAGCTGAGATTCATGATGGTCTCATCACCTTGTCTGTTGTCAAATTTAAATTATACATCCCATGCTTTGGCTTTATGACGCCATTATGGCGTTTAATTGAAATAAAATGTCAAAATGCATAATGGCCCTGGGCATCATCTGATAGTAATCAGGCAGTAGATGATTGTAATTTACATTCCCTGCAAGGTGTTTAGAAGACATTCATTCGGTATTACAGACCAGTTTATTGATAGGTCATGGAACGCATTGCAAAGCGCGTGTGACATTTGCCTGGAACAAAGGTCGTCCTGTGTCTGCGGTGTGGTGAAACGGCACCACCAAGTGGCGTGTGGGAATACCGACAGCATAATGGGGGTGATGTAGCCCGACTCACCACAAAGTTTGTAATCTTACGCTCCTGCTTCTTGTTCTCCGTCACACAGACTCTTTCTACGCAGGACAGAGAGAGGGGCAAGTCGGACAATTATCAAACCAAAGGCGTCTTGTCCAGTCTGATCCCTCCGATGCAGTTCCCGCACTTCGAGGCGGGCAAACAGACGGCCACCCCTGGGTCCCGGGAGCAGAGCAGACGAACGTCCTCCCCCGTCTCCCGGGAGCAGAGCAGACGAACATCCTCCCCCGTCTCCCGGGAGCAGAGCAGACGAACATCCTCCCCCGTCTCCCGGGAGCAGGACATGACTGTTGTCCATGTCTCCAAAAGACAACGCAAACTGCTGAAAACAACTCCTCGGATCCACCACACGACCGACGGCAATTCCTCTTTGTCTTCATCCACCAACTCCTCACCGGCTTCCTTCAGATTGGCCTCCGGCTTCTTCACCCCCGACAAGTGGAAAAAGCTCGCTGACGTCCAGATAGCGCGCCGTCAACTGATGAAGGAGATGTGCGCCAAGTACAAAAGCAGCATCTCCAGGACCATCACGGCTCATCACGTAAGAAACCTCTTCGTGGAGGACAAGTACAAGCTGCTGTACTGCCAGGTGCCCAAGGCGGGCTGCTCCAACTGGAAGAGGACCCTGATTGTGCTGGCAGGCCTGGCCCCCAACGCTCGGAGCATTAAACACGACACGGCCCACGGGGGGCGCTACCTCAGGGAACTCAACACCTTCGACCGGAAGGGGATCATGCACCGCCTGGAGACCTACACCAAATTCATGTTTGTCCGCGAGCCCTTGGAGAGAATGGTGTCAGCCTACAGGGACAAGTTGGAGAATCCCAACGACTACTACCACAACCTGTTCGGGAAGCCCATCATCTCCAAGTACAGAGCCAACCCGTCCCCAGAGGCACTCAACACGGGCAACGGCGTCACGTTCAAGGAGTTCGTCCAGTACCTGCTGGACGTCCACCGGCCCGTGGGAATGGATATCCACTGGGACCAGACCAACCAGCTGTGCAATCCCTGTCTCATAGACTACAATTTCATCGGAAAGTTTGAGAACATGGAGGAGGAGTCCAACTACCTGCTGCGGTTGGCCGGCGCGCCGCCCAACGTCACGCTGCCCAGTTTCAAGGACAGGAACCCGGCTGACAAGAGGACCTCCACGGACATCACACAAAAGTACTTTTCGCAGGTGAGCGCGCTGGAGAGACAGCGGATGTATGACTTCTACTACACGGACTACCTGATGTTCAACTACACCAAGCCTTTCAAAGATTTATACTGAACAACTCCAATCAACTTGAAGCCCCAAGTCACATTCCACGTCACCACCATGACAGTCATTTTGACATAAAGAGGCTATAATCACATGCTCACATGGATGGTTGCCTCTAAGCATGGAGGCAAACGTCCTTCTAGAGTCCACGGAAGCTGCTTTTATATGCATACCTTTCTACCAGAATATCTTATCATTTTCAAACTGTCTGATCAACATGTATTATAACTACTTTAAATTGTCCTTAAATTAATGATATTTAGTCACTACCAACACATGTTGAGTAAAATTATTAATGTTATGCTTCTTAAAAAAAAAAGAAAAGAAAATGTTTTTTTGATCAATAGGCTTTAAATCATGCCTTACTGTGAGTCAAATAGCATTTGCAATTTTTGTTTAATGAGTCCATTCAACATAGGCGCCACATGTGTGCAATTTAGTATAGGTGCTAATTGCATTCCTAAAGTCACAATTGATTTAGGAGCAACCACAAGCTGCCCTCTGCAATAGTGGTAAGATAAAATTGAATATGAATATAGCTGCTTTGGTTCAGACTAAGACTCTGTCTAACGTTAGTAATGACCACCACAGTGTGCTGCAATGACTTAATTTGCATCAGCCATTTGACTCACAGGCATACCTCCTCTACTAATGCACCCTAATGCAGACATTCAATGTAAACGGTTTTATTGAACACAAACCGTAACACCATGAAAACACTATAAATAGTACACAACTTTCAAATGTGTCAAGCGCTGCCCATTCTGAAGCCGTGTGCACCCATTGTAGCAGATTTTTGTACTTTTGTCAGAAAGCTTCGTGCTTTGGTCTGAGACACGGGCCGTAGGTCACCCCCCCCCCCCCCCCCCGTCACTGAGGAGATACTTCACCGGCGTGGCTGTCAAAGGCAGCACATCCAGGTACAGCACCTTTTAATGCCCAGTGGTGCCACAGACGCACTCAAGGATAACCACAAAATCTGATGTTTGGATTTTTGTTTGATGATTTGGACCTTTTTATTTGGTTTAAGAAAAGAGCGTCCAAAGGTATCCACCTATCTCACTAACTGGCTGTACACTGAACTCCACATACTGTACGTATCACATGTATTCTACACCACCGTATAGGCTATTTCCCCTGACGCTACTGTGTACAATTGTATAATGGGCATTCAGAGGACTATCTATTTTTCTATGTATTTCTAAAATATATATATACATAGTCAGTGCTTATGGTGAAGGTATGTTCATTTTCTTTATGATGTCATTTGTTGTTGCTTTAGAAATAACAGTGTGGACTTGTCACGTAACAGAAGAGTTATATAAAAATATATCCACCAACTGAAAATGTACAAGACTAACTCTCAAGAAACTAAACAACTACAAACATTTGTGCTGCCAGGAGATATCTCGCTTAGTCTGATGATTTGATTCCACTCTGTGCTTCGGAGGAGGTTTTTGTGATTTTTCCTAAAATGGATATTCCTTTTTGGAAGCGATCTTGTTAACGACATTGTACCCAAACTGTTTGGTCCGTCAACATGAGAATAGACCACCCTGTACAGATGAGCTGCATTCCACCGTGTTACCCATCCCGGCTGAAGACATTCTTACCCTTACCAACCCCACTGTGTGTGTGTGTGTGTGTGTGTATGTGAAAGTGTGGAGCTTTTTCTCCTGCTACTTTCCGAAACATCTAAAGACACTTGTAATAGATACAAAGAAAGAGGTCAGTTGCCTCTGTGTAACATTAACAGACTGCTTTATTTCCAACACACCAGCCGGCCAGCAAGTCAGACGCAGTGGAAACTACGCAAAAAGGAAAAAAAGAAAGAAGACTCCCATGAGGCTCAGTTCCGACCTTTTCAAGATGAAATATGAATAAGTATTAAGCTATAGAACCAGCATAACCATTCATCAGATGATCATATACTGTAAATCCCAACATTCTGTTGAGTGAAGTGAAACCTCACGTACGTTTCCTCCATGTTGAAGTTGAGTTGAAATCTTGGTGGTTGGCCAGTGAAGCTCCTGTACAGTGAGTGTGATGTTAAAGTGAGCACGTATGATGACTAGGACACCAAAATGATGAATGTAAAGGAGTACGCTGACGCAGAAATAGCTAGAATAAACAGAATACAGAGTAAAAGTAACGGCCGTTCGGGATGGCAAGTGCAGCTAGGACCAAAGTGGCTAGAACTCATCTTATTATGAGTGCACGATGCAGAGAAGAGCCGATCTATGGCTACTAGTCTCCTCTATAGCAGCAGTCACTACTCAGCTATACGCTTTGCAGCTCCCTGGGAACGTGCGTTATTGTAACAAAAAACACTAGTAGTGATGAGTGAGGGGTATTTGTGTCATCTAAACCTACACATGCACGCTATAATCAGCTTTTAAAGACCCTTAACACTTGGTGGTAGTGCCCTTTACGCGGTGATGGTGATCGTATGAACTATTGTCAGTATACTGTGTTGGCTTTTGCAATTCCAAAATCTAATCTCGCGGTCAGATTCTATGTCGGCAAAGACGACACCTGGCCACAAAACAGCTACCGCATTATGATGAGTATTACTGCCCCCTCACTCCCCACCCCCTCCTGCCCCAGCTAATAATAAAGTTTTCTTGGTACGTGGGTGTTCGGACAGAATTATCAAAAGCGTAAGTACAGTAACAAGTGAATGTATAACTGTTTATTGTTGGTGCAAAAGTGTATAAAATATGATCTTAAGCCCTTTGCCTTATTTTACACTGCCAATCAAATGGTGTATTTCAGGAAGACATTCTTCAGGAAGTTATTGATTCTGACTGATGAGCGTCTACTAATAAATTGTCTTTAGCATTTTAAAAGTTTGCTCTCATTCTTTACTCTCTTTCCTGGCGGCGCGTTACCGAGCTCCAGGAGAACTACGGGTCCTACGAGGCTTTGCTTTGACGTTGTTACATTTTCGCCTCTTTTATTATTCATTTGATAAATAAAAAAAGAGTCTGCAGGCCTGGCGAGGAAGTCATGAGCCAAGTCGGCAAGCGAAAAACAAGAAAACAATGGCGTCAACAATCCATCCAATAGTTCCTAAAACATGTCCACCTGCTTTTTTCAGATTAAATTATCATTGCCTCAAACCTCCTCTGTGATCACTCATTTCAAAACGTCAATACTTTTGTTTATTTTGTCCACTGACCGTGCAATAATGATATCATCAGCTGCTGCAGCAGCTTGGTGATGCCTGCTGGTCTGAAACAGACAGATTCATTCAGAGACAATTACCGATGAACACACGGGTTTATGCACAGAGAGTGAATGTCATGCTTTGGAGAGCGAGCTACACGGGCTAAAATAAACCATGGAGACAGCAGAGTGCGAGGCGCTCCAGACGCGGAGATGCCGGATCCTGTGTACACGGAGCATGAATGCACATTTGCTGGTGGCGCTTGGCGAAATGTCAGTGAGAGACTTCTTCTGCCGACAAAGAACGTGCATAACGGCACTCCTTCAAGTAGAATCGAATAGCCACGGCGATAGCACGAGTAGATCGGCCTTGAGGGCGTATCTGCTGTGCGAGTGGGAGAGTAAAAGTGTGGAAAGAGACCCACCTTTGCTCCGTATCAAGTCTTACATTTTAAGCAGTGCTAAAAAAGGAAACAGCCAAAAGTGAAATATTGTAACATTACTAGGTTATATGCCAACGATACACACACAAACACACAATATATCACGAAACTTGACTGCACCCATTGATTGTGTTGGTCGAAGAAAGAAAAATATAATTTTTTGCATTTTAATTGGACGAGACTTGAAAAACTGTCCCAAGTCATTCACTCAAATGAAACTGTGCAGGACACGGCCTGTGGATCATCTTTTATTACTCGATTTCTGGAAGGTGACCGTTTTTAAAAGTACTATATCCATCGATATGGATAAATAGCACTACAGGTGAGAGGGGAAATATATATTATTGATCGTCTCAAACAAAATGCCTTTCTCTAATATTGCACAATAATCTCAGACAGATGGCGGTCAACGTGTTGTAGCGCTTTGAGGACTGTAATCCCTGAGCTGATTAGTGAAAAAAGAAATTGCTTTGGCGTTAGCAAAATTGGTCCTATGTACGCTCATTTCATACTGAATTATTTCCACGAACACTTATCCGTTCAGTTGGTGCTTTTGTTTGATCAGTCAAGTCTACTTTATTCTTTATCAAAGAGCATGTCATTGTTATGTTATAGCACGGAGATGATTGGGTGTAGAGAGCTATTCAGTACCACCGTATTTGACTCTTTGGCTTAAAACAGGTGCGCTTGTGTAGCATTGTTGCGTGTGGCAGCGCATGTCCTCTTCCCTCAAAACAACGTGACTAAAGCGACTTCACTCATGTACCATCAGCCCGAGGATTCGCCACACACTTCGGCTGAGCTGGTTGCAGAGACAGACTTCTTCCTGCACACGTGGCCACAAGGGGCTTTTATGTTGCCTCGTGGAGCACAAAAGCTCAAACACTTACAGACCAAACTAGAAAGATTAAAATGAGGTTTCTGTTATTGCTTCAACGGTTTAGCAACTGTTGGAAAATCAGTTGTTGTAGTCAGCAGCGCTTTACGACAGCAGATAGTCTGTAGTCTCTGTGAACGTCACACCAGCTGACAGCCAAGACGTCTGCACGCAATGTCCAGATCACCTCGTGGGGGGTCGTGGGGTGAAATGTGTGTATTGAGGTGTGGAACATGAACGTCTGCATCCAAGATGGATCACCAGCACTTGGTGTTGCCCCCCCTACGTATTCCAGTACCATTGAAGAAGACATTGAGAAGCCTTGCTGCAATCCTCGTGTATATGTGTGTCAACTCTGTCTCCTCCTTGCAGGTATTATTTAATAAATGTCCAGTTTAGTGATTTTACGCTGGTAATCGGGTAAGATTTTTCCAACAGCAACTGAACTGATCCACAGTTCAATAATAAACCTCACATTTCTAATGCTTGCGCACCCACGTTTGAAATTGCTGCATTAATTCCTTTTCACAACAGAGAAGTCTGCATGAACACTCGTGCAGCAGATGAATATTGCAGAGCAAATCGATCACTCCGTAGAGTTGCAGATTTGAGTGCTCAGGGCTCCACAACAGCTCTTGTATAACTCGTGAGAGCATTTTGTGTGTGTGTGTGTTGTGTGTGGTGGGGGGGGGGGGTTAAAACTGTGAAGGAAACAAAAGCCATCCATTTACCTCATTAGTGTGCGTGGAGAATCTTGACGTGCTTTGAAGGGAACGTGCTGCTGGAGCTCAATCAGCTCAAGGGCCCGAGACGCGTTGAAAGCAGGCAGGCAAACATCTTAGACGAGTGCTAAACAACCTCGCCTTGGATCCTAACAAAAGAAGGAGAGAGAGACTTGTTCTATTTCTCAAGTACGGCTATTATAGTTTCCTCAATTAATCTTCATGTTTGCCTTCAAGCCGGCGTTAACGCAGCCGATGAGAGCGTTTCTGCTGATTCCCTGACAACAGCGTCGTGTTAAGCACAAAAACGCTGTCATTCTCCGGCTCTCCGACTGGCGCAATTGGCAATTGTTGGATTCAGGGTGACGCGTCTCTCGTCTCAATAATGAGAAAACGAGACGAGAGACGCGTCACCTCGGCCAAACACAAAGTCACGTTGCTTCCTGAAACCCGGCCTGACCCCCGTTTTCACCGACACGTTGCCGGAAACAAGTGCTCGCGGGTCATTTGGCAGGGCGGAGCCAGACATGAGGGGAGGAAGGCTTCAGACAAAAAGGGATCTCAATCTCTATTATTTGTTTTCTCTTTTTTCCTTCCACTGTTTGCATGTCATTGCTTTAAAATGGGACCGGGAGGCTCAGACAGAAACATTTCCGGCGGGCGTTTGTGACATCGTCGGTCACAAACACGCTAACGTATTCTGTGTTTATAGCTGAAGCTAAAGCAGAGAATATCTCATTAAAACAGATCCTCAACGTGAAGTGTGATGGAAGTGATGTCATGTGGTTCCTGTGCGTTGCAGGTGCAGTGACACCTGAGACGGACCCGGTAAAATAAAGCAACATAGCTAGAGGCTAACCTATGCTAATTTGCTTTATTTCTTATGCAGTTACTGTATAATTTCAGTCATTATTTAATTGAATTAAAAAACTTAAATGGTAGCATTTGAAGAAGGAAGTAATATGAGTACTTAAAGCTTGTAGGTATGGGACAAAGAAAAACACATTGCAATTCCTTATATAATCCCAATATTCAAAAAGGAATTACTTAAAATGCCTGTATATTTGTCTGACTTTGATCACGGAGGATACTCACTTTTAGAGAACCTCGTTATTTTAACAACCTTAAAGACAATAAAAAAAATTCATACGACCCCTCAAGAAAACACCGTAAACAAGAGTCTGGTCTTTCCCACGTAGTAATTACTGTATCTTTTAGATCAGGCTTTATTTTTTACCATGACAATGAGGTGGAAGGCTTTTTAATGACACTCATGACAACATTGCAGCTGTTGGAGCCGCGACCCGACCCCAGATAAGACGAGATGAGATGAGATGAAAATATTCACGATTCTCACGATGATGGAAATTCACCACAATTCACTTTTGATCCCAATCAACTGGTAAAATCATATGTCCTCCACCCTTGGGCCTTGAATGATACTTTATTTGTGGGGGGGGGGGCACCGAGAGGATCAGCGGCACAATGGAATGTACTGGCCGAGAGAACGCGTTTTTAAAAACTAATCACATGAGTGATAAAGACAAAATGAGGTCAAATAACAAAACATCACATCAATAAAACTGCATTGAATACGTTCATGAAAAACGGCGACAGAGTTTACCCTGCAATGAGAGAAGCCCCGCTGCGCAGCGGACATATCGCACATCACCACACGATGGCAGTGCCGCGTGTGGAATAGGACACTGGTTTATCTCCGGGCACAAGGTGCACCCTGCATGCTTTCGCCAGAAGGACGCGTGAAAGCCCGTTAATATGAACGTAATATATACGTAATAATAACGCAGCCGGTCACACGCTGCTGGGAGCAGACCAGTGCTTTGGCCTCGGGATTCTATCGCTATGTGGCTGACACAAACTGCTTTTTTCCATATTTAAACCCCCACATCCCTTTATTTACACTTCCCAGGCCCCCAAACTCTAATGGCAGCACATTGAGGAGGTATTTTTTAAGTAAAAACACGAGGCGAACATCTGGGTGGTGATGCTGAAGGACGGTTTCAATTTCAATAACGCCAGCGCCACGGTGTCCTTCACTTATCCCCCCACCCCACGCCCAGACGGGAACAGCAAAGCACTCTTGTCCTGCTCCGCGGCAGCTCGCCGTCTTCATCAATGACAACAGGTTGCGTCTCCCCTCAGAGAACGCTTCCACCTCTCTAGTGCTGTTCCCTTTGACGCCACTCAGAGCAACAACGATATCAAAAGCGTCGTTTTCATCATTCGCCTCTTTGCTGGCAGCTCTCAAAAGCCGCCCCCTCGAAGACAATAAAAAGACAGCCAATTTTTCTCTCCAATGCTCCTTTTCAATAAATCACCCCCCCCTTTTGCGGCCGCCGTGTCCTGAGCTGCGTTTCCCTTCGTCAAGCAGCGTGAGCGATGGAAGTGACGGAGGAAACACCTGCTGAAGAAAACCTAAGAGGACGAGGGGAGAGGATGGAGCGAGGAGCAGTGCCTGATGGGAGTAAAAAGCCACAACGAAGCAACAAACTTGCAGGGACCATCACTTATGGTGACAGGCCAGGAGGTGCCGTGCTATTAGTAGGCTGCAGGAGAGGCCCTGAGCGCCACGGGGGGAGGAGGGGGGAGTCCCACCCACGATGGATGGGCCTCTCTCTCAGGACTAAATTAATACTGGGTGGGGTGAATTGCTTCAGGAACAATGTCCTCCTGAGGAGCTAATCAGACAGGAGTTATCTAGGAGGGCCTGTAGGCCGGCGGGGGCGCGGCGCCACGGCCGCCCAGGTGTAAAAGGCAGGCGCACCACACGCCGACTTGCTACGGAGCAGGAAGAGGTGGAGGTGGAGATGGAGGTCAGAGGACTGATGGCGGATAAGTCTTCAAGGAGACAGTTTCCCTGCATTTACTGTCTGAACTCAGCTTTAATGGCAAAATAAATGTTGGCTTTTAAGTATTTCTATTAGTACACAAAGAGTATATAATATTATATAATATTTTAGTATATAAACTATATTACTGCAAATGCATTCCAATTATTAATGTTGGGATTAAACGATCATGACTCTGTTGTGTTCTGTTGTGGTACGTTTGTGTTTACTTTTATGGCTTCTCCATGGTCTTCTTCTGTGGTACTGGAATACGTAGCTGGGGGGGAGCCGGGCAACACAAAGTGCTGGTGATCCATCTTGGATGCAGGCCATCATGTTCCACACCTCAATACACACATTTCACCCCACGACCCCCTACGAGGTGATCTGGACATTGACGGGCAGACGTCTTGGCTGTCAGCTGTTCACTTGTATCCATATGAAATAAGCATTAATCTTACAGATCAATCATCACGGCGTCAAAAGTGATATTGTCTGTAAGAAATATGGGATCGGCATGAATCCCCCGAGTCACTAATAATGAATGATACTGTGTGGAGATCAGCAAATGGAGAGCTAACGACTCTCCATTTGGATTAAAAATGTACTTTTGTTAAGAATCTTGAATAAATGCATGAATGTTTGAAGGAGATCTTTCACCGTAATACAGAGTTGACGTTAGTGAGAGAATGATGACACGTTTAACTTGGTATATACTAGCTCACAGCAACGTATCATACATTAAAATGATTCATGCGTGGATTTTATTTTAATAAAGTCAGTCATTTCCTGATCATTTCCATGATGTGTTTTGTGCTAATTACTTCAAGTAAAGGGAAATAGTTATTGATAACTATTTTAGTTCATAGGCCTATTAGAAAGAAACTGAAGGGAGATGACCCGAGTGGAAACTTTAAGTACAGCAGATGTTAATATTTTGCATAATTTGCATTTGAAAAGCGGTGATACATCACAGTAATGCTGTATCGAGACTTAACTATCATGATAGTATCTTATTGTGGGTGCTGTGGTGATTCCCGCTCCGACATTATCGTCATTTTAGTTTCACAGGGATCACGACTTTAAACAAACAGGGAAAAAATATGATATTCTTGAGAGAAAAAAATACATCCATAATGCTCCTTGTACAGCAGTATTACAATTGTGCCAAAGAGATGCAAAACCAGAATCTAACTGCAAATCATACCCAAAGGAGAGCTTACTCACTCGATGACTGCGCCAGGCAGCTTCACAAAACATTTCTCTATGCAAACTCAATGAACAAAAGAAAGAATGCTGCTGAAGCAGATTAAGGGCACAGAAAAAAACACAACATAACTCACAAGCCCCCACTGCCAACTCTAATAGTGTTGTCCTGGCGGGGGATCCATCCCTGTAGTCAGTAATAACCTGCAGTAAAATCTTTTTTCGGGGTCGGCGGAGACTCGTGATGTGTGTGTCTACATTACACATGCATAGGTTATATTGTCAACATTAGGCAGAAATACAACACATTAAAACGGCTCATTAACTCCTAAGAAATGCAGAAAAGATCCAAACAAGACAGAAAACTGAGAAGACACATACGGCATATCTGCCGATGGTGCACCAGGATAAGGAAGATGGAAAGAGAAGTGTTGGTGTTGAAACAACAGCAGAAAAGTACTTACTTAAACACAACAAAATATGCAAAAGGCGCACACACATCACACTGAATGTCTGATGACGGCGCACCAGCATCATGGAAAAAAGAAAGGGAAAGCTTGGTGGCAGACCATCAGTGGAAAGCAGCATATTCGCGATATGATTAATAAATATATGTGTGTGTGTGTGTGTGTGTGTGTGTGTGTGAGTATGTATACAAACGTATGCATGCATGCATGTTCCTTTTATTGTATTTCTTAAAAAGGAGCCACTTACCTTTTTGTTCATCAAGTCCAGCACAAGACGACATTAAAGTCTTTGTTGGATGTTGCCGTTCTTCTCTTCTATTCAATGACCTATGAACCCTTCTGGCACAGCTGGAGGTGCTAGATGGTAAAGTGAAGACCATCATCAATAGTTCTGTGAAGTCTCGTGCAGATCTGTCAAAAAAAACGAGGCAATCAAGTTATACAGGCAGTACACCGAAAAGCCTTTTTCTACATAACATTGAAGTGTTGACGTATCACAACCAATATTAAACCTTTGTTGGGACACTCATTTTGTAAGATCAGTGTTGAGTCTGAACCCCAGATTCTGCTTTTCAGAACTCATTGATAAACATAGTTGGGGAGCCTAGAGCAGTGGTCCCCAACCTTTTTTACCTCATGTCAGACAATATTTCGTGGACCGGCGCGGAACGGTCGACGGGGCGGGTAGTAGTGCGCTCTGTGTTCGCGGTCCGGTGGTTGGGGACCACTAGCCTACAGTGCCAAGACGAAATCAATGAGTCGTATGGGTGCAGATCGGGATTGGGCACAGGGATGTTAATCAAACAGGATCATTTAGGATGACTGGAATTATGCTATAGTTACATGACTATAACCAAAAGATTTATTTAATGTCAACATTTGGCCACACCTGAACAGAATTTGCTCAGTGATTGGTGGAGCTAGCTAATGTCACTGCTATTGCAAGTAGCTAACGTTAGCTCTTGCTAACTGGACACTTTGATACGGATTTTTAATTTTTTTTTACCTTTCCCGGTTTTCTCTTACATCGCGCGGATGAAATATTTAGGGTGACTTTCCTCCCCACACGACAGCGTTGAAACTGTTACGAAAGAGGCGTTTTGGACATCGCCGCTGGCCGTTAGTCGCTGCTGCGCGCGGACGCTGGATGGCCGGGGGTGAGAGGGAGTGGATGTCACGTGACACGAGGCAGGGCCGTTATTGGTCATCATTCAGCTGACTCGGCAAGTGGCAGACAGGTGCATTCAGGAACGTTGGTATAATCCATACTTCACTGTGATTGCTCTTTTTACCATGTGCATGTGTATTCCCAAAAATGATGAACAATGAAAATTGTAATATTGAACAAATAAACACAATTGTGAGGTTCCTTCCCAGGGCCTTTGCACTCAGCTGGCGTGGATCTGATTGGTGGGTGAAGATGTTCCTCGATACTGAGGGCTGGACTTAGTCCCACTTCCAAGATCATTTCGAGGCTGGAGCTGTTGTCCCCTGACAGTGACAATTGATTCCTGATCCGATGATAGGGCGACGCTTCCTCCCATAATATACATATTCATGTATTTCATTTTATCACTGAACATGCCATTAAATTATCTAAAAGCTCCCGGGATTCTGTGTGCAGCGCTCTTAGCCTTGGACCTTGGAGGTCAACTTTAATCTTACAGGAATTGATTGGTTGTCTGACTTCCTCCTAATTTCGGATGCTAAATCAAGCATACCTCACAAGTGTTTTTATCTGTTTAAAATGTAAAATGGTTAAAGAAAGAAAAAAGGGGACGGACACAGCAACCAGAGGAAACCTTTGAGGCTTGGATTTATACTCCCAGACAAACCGAGGACGTGGCTGACGGCGCTTTGCCACTTGTCTGCACGGTGGCTTCACGGGAGTGGAGTAATGCTTTATATCCGAGGTATGAACTGACAGGATGAGGTCAGAGCTGAAACAGAGGGGAAAACAAAGCTGAGACAAACACGCACACACACACACACACACACACGCAGAGGCACGATTGAACCGTAATGACGTGTGAGAGAATAGACTCTCTGGTTGCACGCACAACGGAAACCCTGCGTTACTTATGGCCACTTAACACAAAGTGTTGGTGAAAGAGAGCGATGTCCGTGGGGCTGTGGCTTCTCAGCCGGCGTCCGGCGGGCCCTGGGAGAGATCGGAGCCTCTGGCGAGCCTCGGCCCTGTCTTACCCTCAGGGGGACGGCAAACATACACAGCAGAGAACAGACAAATCAGGGGTAAACGGACCAATAACACACCAAAAAGAACAAATAAAAAAAAATAAAAGATTGGCTCTACATCCATGTGGAAATGATGTAAATAAACGTTATACTGTATCATGGGAGCCAGTGGGACAGTAGTCAGGGACGGAAGAAGTAGATACATTACAAGTAATAGTCGTGCGTTTGAACAAAATTGAAAGACAGAAATATTATGATGAGCAAAATGGACATAAACACTTGTGTTTAAAAGTTTTTGCTAAAACTGCTCTGCTCCTATACGTTGCATTCTTAGTGGAATCAATGCAGAAGTATCATTTTATTGTTATTGTGAATTGAGAGTCATAATCCAGTTGGAAAGAATGAAGAAAAAATATGTCTCTGCTGCAAAAATGTATGTTATATTGTAGCTTATTCTCTCTGCTGAAACTGCCAACAGCTCATAACTTCATCAACTTCTCACTACTTTTTATGAGGGATCATAAATCCTCCAAAGAAGTTGCAAACCGCCAGAATAATATTTAACAATATCTTGGTATCTTGGGTCTTATATTGATATTCCCATGTTTGAAATGTGAAAAGTAGCAATTAACCGCATGTCCAAAAACCCCAATATTCATATCTTTTTATTATTGTGTATTGTTGCAACAATGTTGAGTTACATTACAGAGGGAGTAGACCCTCTGGCCACCATGTCCCCTCGTTATGTCTGTACAGTAGCCCCGGAATGACAAACCAAACCCACTAGAAACCACCTTTGCTGTTTTTATGTTTGCATGAAGGTAGAAGTGACCGGAGGGAGTTGTGTTAGTTACATTACATTACAACCTCACCAGTAGTCAATGAATCACACACCTTCACACTGCTCTTTTAAAATAAGAAACGCTGAAGGAAACTATGGCGCTCGGATGAATGTTGTTACTTCGGCAGCTGTTGTGTCCATTGAACAGTCCCTCTGCACGCTCTGAGTTAAGGGAACATTTAACCACTCATTGTTCTGTTTACTGTGAATACAAGTCAAACAGAGAGGACATGCTGACACGCAACACTGCGTCACTCTCTGTTTGCCTGTAAGAAACAACAAAAAAAGGGCACGAAGACTGAATTTTTGGGGTGCGATTGCATGTTGTGACCATGAAATGTCATCAGCCAGCAGCCTCAGTCGCTATCAGGCAGTCTGCTGCACAGAGCTGCTCTCCTGTAGCCCCCAGCGCTGGCCACACTCCCACTCGCTCCCCCTCGCGCTCTCCCACTCGCCTCCTTCTCTCTGCCTCTCTTGTACCAGGGTGCAGTGACCCTCCCCTCCCCGTCTCCCCCGCCCCCCCGAGGCGCTCAGCTTCCACAGTGTCAGTGCGGAGGCCTCGGTGTTGACAAAGCAGCGGGCCTTCAGAAGACACATCAGAACCCCCCCCCCACCCCTCTGCGCTGTTAGTGAGCTCAGTGCATAACAAAAGGACAGGGACTCCGGGTTTCAGTCTGGGGGCCATTACGAGGCTCAACAGCACAACCGCAGACAGGAACAGGGCCCTCGAGACGCGCCCGAGCGCATCACGCGAGCTACGACCACCGGATCGACTCGAACCGCTGGAGACGAGTTTCGTGCTCCTCTGTGGCGACGTCGGCACGGTGACGGGTGATTGTGAATACGGAGCATAAGTCGAGGCTGCGGGTTGATGCCATAGTGACACATGCACCCTAATGAGGACCGTGCTGCCAGGCCCCCCCACCGCCCACCCCCCATCCCCTAAAGGGCCGTTGAGCGGGAGGAATGGTATGTGATGCATACCAGATGTGATTGGAGACATCACACGGCTCTCGTTGTTACTGCTAACCAAATAGTAGCGGCAACAAAAAGCAAGAGACCGTTTTTCTGTTTTTTCTTCCTCTGCTCACACAGTCAAAGCATGATGCTGGATGTGTGTAAGACTGGTTTGAGCCAGAAGCACAATAAGACTTTTTTTTTGACAGTTTCAGAGAGTATTGCACTTAGTAGAAGTGGCGGGGTAGGAGAGTTTGGTGAGAGATACAACAATGGACAGAGTATCGTTCCTTCCTCCTCGAGCAAACAGAGACAAACGCTTTAAGGTCCCATTATGACAATGAAAAGGTACTAATATTTTTCTAAACCAGGTCCACGTTCTAGAAATACTAGCAAGGTATGAAAGCACTCAACCCATGGAGCTTCTGTCTCCAGCCAGAATCAAGAACCAGGCTGTTGCCTGGCAATGTCCAAACGCGCTGAAATGGAACGTTTCAGAAGTACGTTCACACAGACATAGTGGAGAATATTTACTTTTTAAAGCATTAACATTAAAGCATGTTCTGGTTACTAGAACTAGAATACTAGAATCTGGTAGAAATGTAAAATACAAGTGCGAAAATGTCCCCTTCAATCTATTGTGATTTTGTGTTTTTTTTTAAGCATTCAAATATGTAATCCTTTGCCTCCAAACATTGCAGAGGTCTCTGGTCCCTGAAGGCCTTTCTTCACAGTAACAGTGGTTGTATTTGGGCAGATAAAAGCATGTTTTAATAAGAATTGTGCAAATTATGATCTAAGCATGGAATTTGGTGGAGTTTGGTCAAATATTCCCGATCGGGCATCCAAAGATCCTAGATGGCGGCTATTTTTCAAGATGGCCGCCAATTGGGTCTCCAAAAATTGGTTTTCTTAATAAAACTGTCTTATAAATGCTTGTATCCTAATTTGCACAATTATTCCACTATATTCCCCACTATTACTTACTTACAGCTTGTATATATTCTGTGATATACAGTCCGGACCACATGATGGCAGCAAAATAAATTCCAAGTCAATCTGATCCAGATGTTGATCCAGAAATGTGTTTGTCAAGATGGAATCTATTGTGGTGGCTCAGTCGCGTTTGAGGAGAGAAATGATTTAGATGTGTTTCACTTCAGCCAGTAGTAGAGAAAGGTTGATCCCCCCGTTAACTCTGTATCTGTAGAGAATACGGCCACTGGTTCCCAACCTCTGGTTTGAGACTCTGCTCAAGAAGTAAAAGGTGTGTGTTTCTCAGACATATCTAACCCTTTTCCCCAACTAATTACAAGCCAAGCATTGAAAGTTTTACTTCAGTAAAATGTAGAAATATCAGTATTTCCCTCCTACCAGAGTCCACGGAAGTATATCAAACAACGTTTTTGACTGCACTGTCTCAACTTAGACAGTGCAGTCAAAAATGTTGTTTTTTATGCTGAACTCGGCTCAATTTTGAGACACCTCATGTAAAAATTTTTATTTTGCTTCTTTATCTTCTGCTAAATTTAACAAAGGTTGTCATTAAATAATGATCCATTTGCATATTTCAACATAACATTCCAGAAAGCAAAACATAATTTATGAAGGTAATCAGCAGGGTTCATTTCAATGGAGTGTCTATTAGTTATTTTAAACCATTCACCTCCAGTGTTTTCCTTTGGATACAAATGTCTTGCGCAGGAGACCGGCCCCCCTGGCTGTTATATCACTACATATTATAGTACTGGATTGTACTAGTTTATGAATTTACCAGTGTAGTAGGGAGCTCCATTTAACTATTCCACACGCCGCTAGACAATCCGAGATTGCATCATATTACATTTGAATTGCAAAATAACTACAGATGTCCCTTTAAACCCAACAAAGTAAAAGTAGGGTGGTCGACGTATGAATCAGAATTCAATGGAAGCTCCAAACAATCCCCACATACAAAGTTGTACTACTGGAGTGCAAAGCAGCGCGGTGCTTGAAGACATGAACGTCGACTGCGTCAGGGTTCAATGCGTGCTAACCCCGAATAATCACATTGATACCTTGACGCCACCGGAGGTCACCGCCGTGGAACCCGCAGGTAAAGAATTGACTCATAACGGCACATCTCAGAGGAACACAGAGCAAGAGAGCGGGCGCACGCTTTTTACCGGAAAACTTAATTGGCGGCATGAAGCACTTGAGGGAATCCTGTGCCGTGCTTGTTAGGTGTTTGTGTGCAACGCAGACACCTCGCGCGCTATTAATAAACAGACACCCTCTACCTCCCTCTCTCTCCCTCTCTCTCCCTCTCTCTCTCTCTCAGAGATAATGAACAATAAGTGTCGCCGCCGCCGCTCAGACATCAAGCGGGATGTCAGATGGCGGGAAGAGCGCAGCGATCGACAGCAGCCGGGCCTCCACGAGGCACCGCGGCGCTACTGAGAGTTCTCGATGTTCTTTTCAAACCCCCCCCTCCCCCCGGTGCCGCAGGGGGGACAGCGGATCTGACGGGGGAGACTGTCGTTCAGGGAGAGTGTGACTGATGTTTGTCCTGTGCGGTGTTCCAGGTGACCTGTGTGGGTCACCAGGGGCCTTAGATGCTACAGGTGTTTAAGGGAACAGATAACACAAGGCAAACGAGTTTTTGTTTTAATCATTTGCATGCATTTCCAGATGAGAAATCAGAACGTTCCCGTTGTGTTTGCATATCAGAGTCAGAGGCTTTTTGTTGTGTGGATTTTGGATCTCTCTCTGTGTCCCTCCATGAATCAGTCAGTGCTGTCAAACGCCGTTAAGAAGATAGATTTATGCCGTGTCTTCAGGAATAAGAGGATGTTTAAATCAGGCCATGAATGACTTGTGTTAAATCCTTCAAAGCGTAGAGAGGAATGACACTGGAAAGTTTGCTGGACGTGTGCTGCTGAAGTGGAGATTCATGCCTCGCATGAGGAAATTTGCAAAATGACCCAAATGTTGGAGACACCACATGGTGAGTAGGTAATAAAATGTGACGGAAAACAGCTGATGATTACAAACATTGAGCCATTTTGTTTTGTTCTATGTTATGTGTAAATATACAAAAAAGGCATTTAGAAAATGCTACATTCTGATCAAATGAATAAATAAACAAGTGGAGATTTTAGAAGTAAAATTAGCCCCAGATTTCAAAATGGATTTTATGAAAGATTAGAGGAAAACTACACGTTATGTAAATATTTACTGCGACCCCAAAAATATAACATTTTTTTCCCAGGTGGAAGCCAAACCTTTAACCCATGAATCCGTGAGGTACACATGCATCCACTCTGTGTGATGGTTTATGTGCTAACCAGCAGATGGTACTATGTCCCATCTCCCCGCGATCAGCGACTCACACAAAAAGCAGAAGGCCGTGATTCGTCACAGTGAACCTAAACAACGGCTGTTTTCCGAAACACTTCAACAAGTTGCTGCTTTTAAGTTGGATTGAGTGAATTACTATCGTCACAATTATAATACTGCAGCGTGAACTGTGAAGGAGAGTTTAGCCACATCGCTGCCACTGAAGAGTAAATATGTTAGAAATGCTTTCCAAAATGGCCTCTAGCACAGTGAGGCCGTGAGCACCTGCTGGTGGACCTACAGGGCAGAGTTCATATTCTGATGGGTCGTGAATTCATTCATTCACTCCGGTAACACGTGATGTCTGAGGGAGAATAATTCTCACTTCTTCCTCGCAGTAAACGTCTTGACTTAAAATTAAGTCAAATCTATATTGATTTCATTTCCACAGGAAAAGTGTGTGCGTGATTGTGCGTGTGGGGGAGAAGGGGGGCAGTATTCAAACAAACTAGAGCAGAGCTCCATTGGGGGGGCAATAATCTCACTGCTGAGGTCAAAAGGTCAGATCTGCATTTTGTATCCTGAAAAAAAAACAAAAGTAACGTTTATATTTCAAGGGTCCTTTCACCTGCTGGGGGGGGGGGTAATATGTGGCTCTGCAACGTAGCCCAGAGAGCCCATGCAAATCCTTCAAGATGACCTACTTCTTCCCCTTTCGACATAGACACTCCGCTAAAATCCATAAATTAAGGAAATTAACCAATGGGGACCCCGGGGCCACTTTGTAAGCTATTTAAATCTTTAAATTTACAACATCCCTGCATACTTCATGTAATTGAACTAACTCCGGGCTTGTTTCCTTTAATGAGAGGCAAGAAAAAATTAAAAATTCCCCTCCGGTTTGTACCTCTGGAAACAACAAATCTGTGCCAGAGGGGGGTGGGGGGGTTTGCTCTGAGGTCTTTCTAATTATGAAGACTTGAGAGGAGGAGCAGAGAGACCAGCACACGGCCCGCTGTCACCTCTTATTGTTCAGATACCTGCGATGTTGAGCTAAACGTGCCCCTCAGAGTCAACAACAGCAGACATGATCAACAAGAAAACACGTTTCATCTGACTGATAAACAATAGAAAAAAAAGAAGATAAAAAAGAAAAAAGGTGAGACTGGTTATCTCCTGTGGACCAATAACAACTTCCTACACTGGTTGGCGCCAAATATCAAGAAAAACGAGCGCTGCAGCTCCGTCTGGATGCCGGTACAGAGTAATTACCGGGCCTCAATGTAGCCTCAATTATTCACCGTTATTTACCCGCTAATAAACAAACGTGCAAATAAATAAATAATCGTCTCCTTGGCGTTTGCACCTGCTCGACTACCCCCCCCCTCCACCCCCACTATATGTGCTCGGTGCACGCGCAGGACTTTTAGTGTCTTGGAAAAATAGCATTATTCATATAAAGTCGCTTTCTCGGCCTCCATACACAAAGACACACCCCAAAAAATAAAAATAGAGGTCTGCAGCCTCCTGGCTCTCATTGCAGAGTGAAGAGTGAAGAAAGGAGGCGGGGGGGGGGGGGGGCAGATATCTCCATCTAAGCCCCCGCGCTATAATTGAAATGGCGCATTTGGCTGCAGGCGGGCTGTGAGGGCGCTCTCTCCGCAGCGGCGCGCATGCATGTCCGCAGACGTCATTTGATTTTTAATGGCCTGCAGGAAATTTGGCGTTACCACTCCAGACTCTTGAGGGAAGAGAGGGAGACAGAACCAGGGGGGAGAGAAAGGGAAACAAGAGATGGGGGAAATACAATAAGATATTGGTTATATAGTTAATATAGTTATCTATCTATATATATATATATGTATAGATGTTTTTTGTACTGGGACTTTATCAACAAGTTGCAGGTGCCTTTATTGCCTCGTTAGACTCCCCATTGGGGATGCAGACGGGCGCGTTGTCCCGGTAGCTGGACCCGCCGGGGGACCTGTTACATCACACGGAACGACGATGATGCAAATCTGCTTTTGGCCGCTCTGAACCCATTGAGCGACAGTTTGCCTGTTTCCGACCCCCCCGTCCTGGAAAAGAAGATCACAACTTCACACCACTGAGGGGAACTGGTACTTCAGCGAGGGAAGAAGAAGAAGAAGAAGAGACAAAATACAAGTTATTATAGCTGTGCAGTCATAATTTTCGGGAAAGGGGGCAGTGGTTGGGGGGGGGGGGGTATTTCACGTCTTTTCTTTTCTTGAGAAAAGTGCCTGAGAGAGAGAGAGGGAAGGAGGGAGGGAGAGAGACAGAGGGAGGGAGAAAGAGAGAGAGAGAGTGGAGTTGAGCTAATTGTAGCCTAATCCCATGGCCCAGAGGCACTCGGGCACCCCGGAGCAGGATTTTTCTCTTTTCGAGCTTCGCTCTGTTATTTACAGACGGATTATTGGCTTTCTTCTTCTCACAACAAACCACAGGGGCAGTTCCGTTTAGGCAAAAGAAGAAGAAGAGAATACGCTGAAATACGAAGCAGGATTCCAAACAAGAGCGCACATCTTCTTCTTCTTTTCTCCCCCCCCCTCCTCTCTCCCCTATCTCGCGCGTATCCAAATAAGAGCGGCGCAGAGGAAGGAGACCAGCTCATCCATGTACAAGGTAAGGACGCTTCCCCGCGCGCCTCGCTGCGGGTCGGAGACCAGCCGCGCCGCATCGAGTCCCCCCTTCTTCCGCTTCTTCTTCTTCTTCTTTTTTTAAAGCCGCAGAGTCTCTCGGCGAGCCGGTCCGTCCCGTCCACAACCCCTAGTGTCTTTTTAAAGGGCAGTTTGGTGTGTTGTTTTGAGGGTGGGGGGGGAGGGGGGCGTGGGGGGTGAGAGAGGGTGGGGGTGGGGGTGCCGATACACAACAAGAGACTCGTCTGTTCCCGGGCGGGCCAGTATCTATAGGTCGGTGCCGGAGCCGGACGGCGCCGCTGTAGTTGTGCCAACGAAACTCGGGCGCGATTCCTCTGGAGAACCGAATATTTGAAACGTCGCGTTTGCGCACGCGGAGCAGCAGCTGCCGGGTTCGATTCCACCGCCACGGATTTCCTTCTGGACCCCCTACGATGTTTGAAACGGTAGGCTGAGAACATTTTGAAATGATCATAGAATGTGTGTGTGTGTGTGTGTGCGTGCGTGTGTGTGTGTTTAACGCGCAGCGCAGTTTGCGAAGAGTAGAGTGTCGCTGGCGCTAAACAGCCGCGTGCACGCATCCCCCTTTCGACACACTTTGACACGAGTGGGTATTTTATTTTATTTTTTTTAGGATAAAGCAAAGCGTGAAGGCTCGCACGTGTCGGGATGATGTGCTTTTAATTTGTTCTGCGCGAGGGAATAAGGCGCCATGTTGCTATTTATAGGGCAGCGGGCTACGTGGTGTCAGCTTGTTTTGTGTAGCCCGACGTCTCCGTCCCGCGGTTACCCGAATACGCATCGCGTGACGGACCCTCGGATAAGGGTCGCGAGCGGAAAGTTGATGATGCTCGTGCAGCGGCTGGAATTCATTTTGCGTGGAGGAATTTATCCCATGTGTGTGTTTGTGTTGTACGAAGAGAGACGCAATGAAATGATTGAAATTGTCATGGACTTTGCGATGAGTGTTGGGGCTTCATCGATGGCTCCACGCTCGCGGAGCCGATACCTCGTAATTGCATTGGTTAATTGGTTAGTTGGTGGAGGAACACGGCGAGCCACAGAGGGACACAGAGGGAGACAGACCGGTACGGGACAGCCCAGTGCCGTAACTTCTGAAGTATTTACCAAGTCGTTTGGTTTCTCTACGTCGAGCGGCCGCAGCGGCCTCCGCTCCACCTGCTCGGCGGCAGAAACAACTGGCGGCTGCATTGCGTCCATTCAGGGCGCGAAGATGACGTGATCCGAGTGGGCTTCGAACCCTCGAGCATCCGCCTGTATGAAAGTTAACTCGACCAACATTTCGATTTACCCAATGACTTAACGACACGCATTACAAGTTAAAGTCACGTAGTTTACCCGGTAACTATAAACGCACGCACGGACGCACGCGCGAGACGAGGGGGATCTCACCGTGCACGTGATCTTACCATTATGAGCACGGGCACAACGGCCTGTTCACGTGTGCGTGTGTGTGTGAAGTTCAGTTGTAAAGTTGTCACTATCTGTAGTTGCACCCAACCAGCCGTCGCCCCGACCCTCCGGCGTGTAGCCGTGTGCCGCGGAGAGAACGCCCCCCTCGTGTTTGCCTCACTCTGGGATTGGTGGTCGCTGCGTCTGGGCGCATCACGTCTAACGCGTAAGGCGACCTTTAATTAGAATATTGCTGCAGCAGTTTGTTTTATTCCCCTGGAGGCTGACACCTAGCATTCCTCCCTCCCTCTTTCTCCCTCCCTCCCTATCTGTCAATCTCTCGGCCTCCCTCTCCCTCCCTCCCCCGGGTTCTCTAATAAGCATCCTCCCATCCTCGCCTCCGGTGCCGCATGAAATAGACGCAAACATACTTAATTAGAGCGCTGGCAATAATTTCCCAGCTAAATATGCGACCAGACAGACGTGGAAGCGATCTGATGCCGCTGCGAGAGGATCCCATCCAGTGAAGGGGATCACTGTGCCGCCGCCGCCCGCCGCTGTTTGTCGATCCGGCTCCGCTGCCGCCCCCCTCCAACCCCCGCAACCTATCAACCCACCAACCCCCCTCCACGTCTCCCATGGCTTTTCTCTACACTTGCTTTCAGGAGGGAAGAAGCATGTCACGGCTGTCTCTGACCCGGTCCCCGGTCTCCCCTCTGGCCTCCCAGGGGATCCCACTGCCGGCTCAGCTGACCAAGTCCAACGCCCCGGTGCACATCGACGTGGGGGGACACATGTACACCAGCAGCCTGGCGACGCTCACCAAGTACCCGGACTCCAGGTAAGGCTCTTTCCCTTTTGGCTGTCAGCGGCGATGGAGCTGGTCTGTGTTTTGTGTGAAGCAGTGAGGGGAATTGTCGTCTTGTCAAAAAAGTCCTCATCTCGCAATAAAGTCTCCCGTTGCACATTATGATGGTTTTCTCGATTATTCTCATTCATTTGTTTCTATCTCTATGTAACAGCTTTATTTTGCATGGTTAATATTATAATTTGGTTTTAATTTGGTCCTTTTAAGGATAGATGCTGTTGACGAGTCATGTATTTGACGGCTTTAAGTCAACTTCTAAAGCATTCAATGTCAGAAGCTACCGGTTTGTTATCTTTTCAAACCACATGGAGACACTGTCATTATCACTCTCGGGACAATAAACATGTTTGCCTTATTATTTTCATTGTTTGACAAATACCTTCAAGGCTTTAATCCACTTTCACACAGCAGTTGTATTTTGGAAATCCAGCTGCTGTCAAGCTTTCTAGTGCAGATGCTTTCTGGTGTTTGAACATCCCTCTTTCTTCAGACAACATAGTCGATGTATTTTTCTTCTCCAATAACCCAGAGCATGGTTTATTCTGCAGTCAGACTTAGAGACGTCGACAGCTAAAAGCGCAGTATTTGTGTGGACGGTAACACAAAGGGACTCCTGCTCTCTCCGGCTCTTCTCGCGCAGCAAACAGGGGCTTTTATTTTTTTGATGCCATTGTAGGATTTATTCACGATGATTCAGATTGTGTAAGAGTGGATGGTAATCCACCCTCCCACTTTGTTCACGCTTTTAGCTCAAGTAGCTGATAAAGTATCTCTGTTCTCTCCTCGTGTTTCTTTGTACTTTTTCCACGCTGTCCTCGTTTGCCGCGTTACACAGCCTCCAACCCTGCGTCAGCTGACGAAGCCCCATGTGGGCCAAGGTAAACACTCGCCGGGTTGTTGGGGGAAAGCTGCCGAAATTGGCCACGGGAAACAAATCCCCGTAATCCCCCCGGTGATATAGAGTCTTGATCATCCCAGAGGCCGCTGTCAGGAAATCCCTGACAAGTCTCCCTCCATACCTGACTGGTAGGATGGAGAGTGAAGATCATCCCAGACCAGGACGGTGTGTTTTAATCCAACGTGCTGATGTCACTCGGATCCACATGGTTCTGAACTGTGATCCGAGGTGTTTCATTTGCTTTAAAGCCTCTTTGAAACAAAGTGCCATTCCGAACGTTTTGTTGTTAATTGTGTCATTATTAGCAAGTATAATTATGACACCACATCAAAATTAAAATCTCCATAATTCTATTTGATCCACGTAGGCAACGTGCACAGCAATGCATTTAAAGAAAAAACCCTCCATAATCAATATATTGTAATAATATATATGCTGGCACTATAGAAGAGTTTACATCCACATCTCAGTTGAAATGATCCAGTTTTTGGTAATAACTCCACCAACAACTTGTTCATCAGTAAATAACTAATAGAAAAGAATAGTCAGAGGCAGATCAGGGCGGGTCTTTGCAGAAAGAACTAACTAGCGTAGATAATAGTCATGAGAATAAACTCTTACGCACAGACATATTGTGTCCCATTGGTCAAGCGTGCCGACTGCTTTAAAATCAGCTCTATTTATTTATACCGTATATTATGGATGTATATAGTTTTCAATTTGTAGTTGCATTGTTTTTTCGTTTCCCCTCTACTGTTCATCGTTACTGAGGAGTTATATATAGAGGGGGGGGGGGCACGCAGGGCACCTGCGAATGGAGCTCACAGTCATGTCAGAGCCCCCAAAAAATGTTTTTACAGTGGGAGTAAAGAGCGGAAACCAGTGTGAGTGCTGGATGAAGTCCCCCCCCCCCCCTCTCTCTCTCTCTCTCAGCCTCCTCAGTGTACAGTTGGCCTCAGGCGCTCCACTTTCCACTGGAGCCAGTGAACGGGGGGGTGGAGGGGGGATTAGGATAATGGCTGACAGCAGAAAGCAAAAACAATTACCCTGGTGTTGAGATAAAGGTCAGGGCTTCGGCCACGTCCCGCTCCGGAGGGGCCGAAAAAATAAAACATTGAGAAACGTGCCGTCCGGCAGAGCCGGGGTTCAAGAGTTTAGAGTTGATGATCACTTTTAATAGATCGTCCCCTGAATAATGCAGCGTGCCAAGAGAAAGTTAGTCTAGTAAGTAATGTGTGGCCATTGATCTTCCTCTGCGCGCGCCACATTAAGGGACAAGGGGTCATGAAACATTGATGCGCGCTCTGTGCAGCTCTCACAGAGGACGGCCGCAGCACTCACTTCAACAGAAGCTGAGGAAATTAAGGGGGAATGTTCCGGAGACGAGGAATCTATTTTGAAAGACCTCTGGACTATTTATCCTCTTTTGAGGACGACAGATCCAAACTGGCTCTTAGGTCTTTCGGTTTGGCAGAAATCCCTGTAAATTAACACGGTAAATAATGTCTGGTAGTTTACAGTTGGCACTATATTTCCTTTTTATTTCTATTCCACCTCATTGGGCCTCGAGTGATTTTTTGTCTTGGGTTGCTTTTTTTTTAGAGACAAGAAAGACACGAACACGTCGCGATCTGAACTAAAACAATTAGTTGTTTGATAAGACTTTTAGTTTTAATCACTGAACATGAAATAATAATGAGACTTAATTGTCGCTGTAGCGCAGGAAGAGTAAAAGTTGTGAAGCTCCAAAACAGCAGAAGAAATGTTTTCCCAAGCTGCGGCGAGCATCAGAGTCAGCGCCAGGCGATGCACATCGCGGACCCTCGGAGGCAAATATTGGGCCTACACGACGACGCCTGTTCCCCGAGGACCACTTGCTGCTGCTTTGCAGAGATTTGGAAAGCTATTCAGGCGTTCATAGGGACCTGATATCAGTCATATTATCCAGCAAAATGAAAAAAGGAGGGGCTTTAGCCACACCCCCAGATCCTCCCCAAGGGTCGGCCCGCGACGCGATGACCCGACGCTGCCGGGGCGTCTCGCAACTCATCAGGCGTTGATTAGTGTGAATCCAGATAGCGTCGGTTCTTGCGTAAGGAGCGAAACCTGCCCTGTGCCCCCCCCCCCCCCCCCTCTGTGAACACGCCTCCGGCAGCCCCGAGCGCCGGCTGGCTGTGAGCGAGGACGCTGCCAGTTATTGCCCACCTATGCTGCCCTCGCTGCCTGGCCTCACTTGGCACCGGCGGGGTGGGAGATGTGAGCTGTCCTTGATCACCTCCCACACCCGCCGTCCTCCCGCCCGCCGCACGACTCCCCGTGTATTTCTAGGGAGGTCGCTCAATTTGTTTCCTGCTCCTCTCGGCTCTCGGGTTTTGTCTCTTTCTCTGCCCCTCTTTCTTCTTCTTCTTCTTCTTCTTCTTCCTTCCGTCCTTACTTGCCCTCCGCGTTGTTTCTCCACGGAGTTCTTTGTCTGGTTTTCCACATTGTTCTCGGCCATAATCCGGCTTGTCCGTTTGTGAGTCTCCTCTTTTTAATTTACTCGTGCCTTTTTCGCTCTCCCTACCTGTTAAACCCCCCCCCCACCCCTGTCCCACCACTCCAATTCAGGGATTTAACTGAAAGAGGGAAAAAACTGAGGAGACCAACAGAGAAAGAGAGAGAGAGAGAAGGGGGCTGGGGGGGGGGGGGAGGATCGGGGGGGTGAAAAGAGGGAATGAAAAAGAAAAACAGGCAGCATTTTAATTGCTTTTTAAAAAAGTGGAGATGAAAAACAGAGTTAGCCTGCAGGGGTATGGTGAAATTCTAGCTGGAAGAATTGCAAGACCATATGAGAAAGGAACACCGCAGGCAGAACAGGGAGATGAGTATTGGTTTTTTATAAAGCATTTTGGATCGGTTCTCAGAGAGACAAAGTGTTTAGGGGAGAAAGGCAGCTGAGATGGGCGTCAGTACAGGGGTAATCCGTCTCTAGCGTGGGGTTTTGTTGGGGGGGGGGGCCGAAAGAGACCCTTCTTTGCTCGGCCTCTTCACTGAATTAAAGAGAAAAAGAGACTGGCCGCCGCAGGCCAAAAGGGGGGGCATGTTCCTGTAATTCGGGAGGAAAGTTCGAAAAGACCCCCCCCCCCCCCCCCCCCGCCGCCCTGTAACAGAAGTCCGGGCGTATCAATGCTCATTGGCACATGTTTGATTCTCATTGTCATTGCCCTCCCAGGAGAACTACTCCCAGATTTAAAGCTCAGCTGTCAGCTGTGAGAACAGAAGTTTTCACCGACCCTATCGAGGCATCCTCGATACCCCACAGACCCTAACCGGAAAAACGCTTTCAATGGTTGAGACGAGGGGTTTAGCATATGCGAATAAATAGAGCTTTTTAGACCAGAGAGAGAGAGACAGAGAGAGAGAGACAGAGAGACAGAGAGACAGAGAGAGAGAGAGACAGAGAGAGAGAGACAGACAGACAGAGAGAGAGACCTGCAGGTAAGCGGGAAGGAAACCACACAAAGACGGAGGGGGAAATGAATATCTGTCTCCAGGGCGCGATAAAAGTTTAAAGATAACAGCCGCTCCCATTCTCTGCCTTGATGAGCCCCCCCCAAACCCCTCCTGAACCCCTTCCACGACTTCCACGAAGCCCGGAGTGCAGCAGCACCGGGGAGGAGCGGGTTAAACGTGGGACGCCACAAGCAGCGACAGTGTTGTCAGTGACTGTTTTTAAAAGGGGAGATCCCCAAAAAGGCAAAATGTTGTCCACGATGACGCGTGAGTCACGTTTCCCCGGCAACGAATGTGTGCCGTTAAAGGCCGACGTGCTGACCTCGTTCGCCGCGAGGAGGCCCAGTCTCACCGCGATGTGCATCCCGGTTTAGAATCCCGGATCGCAGCAGATTATGACGGAAATGTAGTTTAATTTAATAATGCAGAGCATGTGATGGATTGTAACTACAGCGGGGGGTGGTTAGGGGGGGGGGGACTGTCAAATGGGGGTAAAATATCTTTCTATTCAGACGTCCTCCTTACAGAAGCATGTGGACCGCCGCCATTTTTTACTTCAGTTTCCCCCCCCCCCCCCGCCCCTCTCTGACAGATGGAATAATAGAGCTGTAATGCCACATTCATGCTATTAATTTCTGTAAGTACAAGCGGTGAGCGTGTGTGTTGTTGTAATCTCTCCACAGAAGGGACACTTCAAACAAGTCTGGAATGGAGCAAACGGTGCCCGAAGCCCCTTGTTTCAACCTGGGATGCTAATGCATTTCAAGCTTAGTGCTAATAAAATTGAAAAATAAATGGAGGGTAATTGTTTCATGCATTTGAAGGGAGCTGGCTCTCACTCTGTTTCCCTGTGTGTGTGTGTGTTTCAATTCTCAGAATCAGTCGCTTGTTCAACGGCACCGAGCCCATCGTGTTGGACAGCTTGAAGCAGCACTACTTCATAGATCGGGACGGCGAGATATTCCGCTACATTCTCAGCTTCCTCAGGACCAGCAAACTGCTGCTCCCGGACGACTTCAAGGTACACCGCTTGTCCGCAGCGCAACAGTGTGAACATGTTCATTTATTAATGCCCCTACCGGTCAACACCCTTCTTAACATGGGTCCCACCCGGAGAGAGAGATGGATGCCAACTAACATGCGTTCTGTCCGTTGCTCGGGCCTGTATTACACTGCACACACCTTCCTCCTGTTGAAGCATCCGTGTGAAAGAACTGAAACCGTACACAGAGTCCCTTATTGCACAAGATTAAATGATCCGAAGCCCGTGGATACGAGCCAAATTCTGTCAGGCCCGGTGTCAAATAATGCGCTCCGGGGTGAACTGAAGAATTCCCCAACCCGACTTGCCAGATGCTACACGTCAATGATCTGAGACGCCGTCACTGGAAACTGTTTGGTAAAGATGTCTTCCCCATCGAGAAGAACCGTCAGTGTCCTTCTAAGAAATACTCTCCGGTTGTGATGGAACATCTACGCTAGCGTCTTCAGGAGCCGCCATCATTCTCACGAAACAGTCCCCTCTCCCGTGGGTGTATAAACAAAAGCGGGTGCAGGGTTGGAGGTGAGGCCCCCGTTCACTCCCATCAATCCAGCCCCGGTCCCGGCTCAATGCGGCACGGCTTTAAACCAAACCAAACCGCTGAGCGCCACGTTGGGTCTCACGTGTCCACGCAGCCGTCAGCAGGAGTTGTTTCCTACGTGCATTCTGCTCCTCACTTTCACTCCACCTTCACTCGCGTGACCTTTCCACCGGGCTGGCGCTTGTTTCATCGCCCCCCCCCTCGCGAGAAAATGCGGCGAGGCCCGAACCGCTCGGAGCCAGCGGGCGAAAACGCACGCATAGTCTGACCCGCAGCCAAACATCCGACAACAGAACGCGGGATGAAAGCGACGTGTACTTCTCAGCAGATAGATGTTCTGACTCAGTGCCGATTATTTTTTCCCTTTATTCCCCCCGCCCCCCCCCCCCCGTCTCATTCCTGTGAAGTCTTGACAGTCCAATCAGGCACGGCGGGTTGAAGGGAACACATTGGACTTCATTGTTTCAACTCATTATGATCCACCTTCGCATAAGCCCTCGTTGATCCGCATACCTTTTCAATTTGAAGAAGGGGGGGGAAAAAAAGAAGAAGAAAAAATGCAAATAGTGCGAGGCGGAGTTGAGCGTGTCCTTATCTGAACACAATCAGACTCGCCGTCGCCCCGGGGGCCGGGTCTGTTCTGCTGCTGGCAGCCGCGGCGCTGTGTGCTTTGCTAAATCAATGTGAAAGTCTGAGCAGAAAAGGGGAAAGAAATTTCTCCAGCTCACATCAGTGGAGCAAAATATTCGCCATTAATATCCGCCCCTCGTCTTGTTATTCACACTGTAATTAATCACAAGTAGTGTAAGCAGTGCTCCGTTGTAGCGACGGCGAGGTTGTGAACCGTTAAGAGAGGGTTCTGCTCGGGCCCTTTGTGTCTCGCAAAAAATCAATAGTGCTTTCTTTCTTTAGGTATTTAATACGGGGAAATAATAGCAAGGAGCTCGGGCTCTCATTTGTTTGGTGGGTGCATTAGACGGGAATCGGATGGACTCTTTGCTCCGTGGCGTGTTTAATCAGCAGCTTCTACACGTGTGGGCTCCGGTCCTCCGACTCCCTCACAGGGACAGCTTTGTGTCCTTTTCCCCGTCTTCCTGCCCTCTCCGTCTCTCTCTCTCTCTCTCTCTCGCCCTCCCTCCCTTCCTCTGTCCTTCCCCGAGACGTCGCCTTGCCGGCGGGCGATCAGGTCGGATCATTATTTTGAGGCTCAAACGGGCTGTCTGGACACGGGGATCGGAGGGGATGAAGCGACGCGGCGAGCTGGCAGCGCGCACAGCGGCCTGGACGGGAGTCTCCCTCTCATCCTCACCTCGGCGCTTAGGGTCGCTGTGTTGTTCTCTGCGCTCGCTCCGGGATGACTAAAAGGGCCCCGCGGACAGACCCCCCTGTTAAAAACATGTCCATCCGCCGCTGCAGACCTGTGAAGGATGAGGGGCCACACTTTGATGCAGAGAGGCGCCCCGAGCGGGGAGCGTCGCCGCATGAGTTTGGTCGGCTGCAGCGAGAGGGCAGGAGGGAGACGGAAGGAGACAGGGAGAGAAAAAGAATTGGGTGGAGGAGGGTGGGGGGGGGGTGAGGACCCCCTCCGCTTTTTTTGCGTTCTGAAATCTTAAATATTAGACCGTCAGCTTAAGATGTGTTGCGTCAGCGCTCGTCCAGATGGAGATACACGTGCGCCGGGCGTCTGGGATGAAGGCGCAGTTTAGATGACGGGGGAGGGAGGGAGGGTCGGGGGGGGCAGCGAGGGAGAATTTTCAAGGCTAAAGAGTCTTGACAGAAGCAGCGGGGTTAATGAATATGCTGTTTGCTGCCACGCTCCGTTTCTGTACCCAGCAGTGGTGAGAGAGGGGGGAGACGGAGGGAGAAAAATATATTCTCTTTCTAGATCAGGGCTCAACAACCAGAGCCAGCAATGATACACACCACACAAAACACACAGTGCCTGACTTTTTGAGGGCGTTTGGATGCACGCCATGTGACAATAAAAGTTCAAAAACCAAGAGTGAATAAAGCTGTCGTTCTTTGTCACAGGGAATCACTAATCAGAGCCCAGATTTATTCATTACTAATTGTTCAGCAGAGGTATTTGCCGTGTTTACGTGCGGCCTAATTAAATCTTGTTCTAATAGGAGCTTAACACCGGGGCCGTGAGCCTCATTAACATAAAACTCCCTCCGTGCGAGGAACGCATTAACATGCTCCTTGGTCTCCACGATTGTCCTCGTGCTCACTTGCACATGTCGTCTCCCTCACCTCCTCATCGGGCCTCCAATAGCGAAAGACTTCTTTTTTTTTTTTCGACGGCGGCAAATGATACCGCCATCTGGTCTTGTGGGAAATTAGAGGCGCGAGCGCCGGGGCGAGCGGCCCACGGCGAGCCCTGCCCGGGAGGCAGAGGCAGGCAATCTGCTGCAGACTGTCTGCACACAGGAATGCACCCTCCCACTTCACTGGAGCCCCACCGACGGCCTTCCTGGAGCCGGCTCGCTGAAACACGCCAACGGGCTAGCGGCGCTCTGCCGAGAGCGACTGTGGTTTGCTCATCGCGAGCGCCGTCCTGTCGGTTCGGAAGGCCATCTCGCCGGATCTTTGTTCATCGCTCTCCTTTGCAGAACACGTTTGAAAGTGAGACACCAAACACTGCGCCAATTTCAAATTTTGCAGCAATGAGACCAGGTTCCCCCCCAACCACCGGCCGGGTCCGTGAGTTGTACTTCGCTCTGTCCTCCAGCGTCAGTTCTTGTTGCAAAAAAGTCAAAAACCATGATGACATTGGCCAAAATGTCCAGACCTTAGTCAAGGAACCAAAGAGACGTTGCGTGTATTTCTTACACATTGTATATGACGTTCAGTTGTGAGTCAGACGTTAACTCTACATAGTTTCCTTAACCGGACCAATTTGCCTCCTGGGAAGAGGGAAGTCTATTTGAAACGGATGTATGCATATAACATGTATTTATTTTATCATGCAAACCATTGCTTGTGGATACGTTGCAGGAAGAGGGCCCTCGCACCGCTGACAACAAGTCAATGGCTCAAACATCCGCCTCCTTGCTTGTAGACACACACATGTAAATGTTTCCTAAGCCGTTGTAGATATGGGACATGTTGGACATATTCATCATGGTGCAGTTAGTCATCCGTTGCTGCATGCATGCCTTTACCACACAGTTTCATTACTCTCACCCATGTTTCTGCACAATACTGTGTATGTGTCGGGTTTTGTCCTGGTTTTTGTGGCACTTCGATAGTCACTCGTGCATCTGCTTGTTCAGGACTTCCACCTGCTGTACGAGGAGGCGCGCTACTACCAGCTGACGCCCATGATCAAGGAGCTGGAGCGCTGGAAGCAGGATCGCGAGCAGCGGCGAATGGGGCAGCCCTGCGACTGCCTGGTGGTCCGCGTCACGCCCGACCTGGGCGAGAGGATCGCCCTGAGCGGCGAGAAGGTCCTCATCGAGGAGATCTTCCCGGAGACGGGAGACGTCATGTGTAACTCGGTCAACGCCGGCTGGAACCAGGACCCGACGCACGTCATCCGCTTCCCCCTCAACGGCTACTGCAGGCTCAACTCTGTCCAGGTAACACATTCAACACACGCGACTTGTACAAAACAAATACCGCAACAATCTAGTTGTAGCACTTGACAACAGTGCTCATTATTGCAAATTAGGGATTAGAGCAAAAAGTTATAGATCCAGTATGTTGAGGCGAGAGGCTACAAGCAAAAAACGTTTTTCTTGCACTAGTCAATTGGGGCTCTTTTGCCCTTGTCTACTTTCTCTAGTTAGACTCGTAGTCAATTGGGCATCAGATATTCCCTTTTTGCATTTATGTAAGTGGTGAATTATTCAAGTAGCAATACTAATATACTAACCAAATCAAACAATCATTTTCTGCTTCACCCAATGTTCAAATATCTGCTCTGCAAGTCCATGCAAACTAGCACATTTGTGATCAACTGTGGAAGTTTCACGATGGAATCTGGCAGTTAGATCGTTGACCTCGTGCAGCGCACACAGATTCTCCTGCAATGAAACCCGTGTGCGCGTTTGCCCTCGACACTACTTCAGATTTTTCGGTGGCTTTGGCGTCGGAGATGTTTTACGGCATCAAACGCGCTGCCGTTACATAGTCCGGCAAAGGGTTCCGCTGAGCGAGCAAACCGTTTGTCACCACCACCCTTCAACACATTTGTACTGTGCGACCACGGACCTCGATGGCAACTCAACTGCTCCACCGAGCTTCAGCTGCCGAGCGTAGCGTACATTTTTCTTTTCAGGGCTCATGAGCCTGAATACCGGCTGGAAACCTTGCTCCGAGGCAGTTTCCCTCATCTGTGGACCTTTGTCACAGTGGAGAAAACAGCTCGTCGTCACTAACCGAGATAATAGCCCCTCCGATGGAGCTACAGTCAGTCGGTTGAGAGATTTCCATTAATCTCCCTGGCTTTTTGCGTAGGAGAACCGTAGTGCGACAGGCCTATTGTGCGTTATTCTCCGACTCCGATCCCCTCCAGTTGACCGCCGAGCCCAGTAAAGCAGCAAGAAGTTCAAAAGTAACTTCAGGAAAAACTAGTTTCTGCCGCCTTGTTACCCAGAGAAGTTCCCGCGAGGGGGAAAACACAACAGCCTCACACCACGGGGCTCGATACATAACACACTTCGGTGCCCACAGCCACGAAAACGGGCCAACACATAAGACGAGCCTCCCCCCACCTACACGCTCGTTCCCTCCAGCCCCCGGAGGCAGCGTCTCCCAGGCAGGCTAGCGCGCTCTGACACCTGCACCTCCCTCCTGCCGGCGTGAGAGACCACCTCCGGGGAGGAGAGCCCGAGCGGGACAAAGCACGCGTGGACTGCGGCCAGGCATTTCCTGCGGGAAAAAAATAAGGAAGAGGAATGGAAAGTGTGGGTGCGTGGGGATGGAGGGGGGGGTATGCATAATTTACGCTTTACTCCTTTTTAAGACACAGCTCCTATTTTTTTATTTAAAAAAGAAAGGAGACTCCAATATAACGCTGCCCGGGGCGATTGAAACACACGTATTGCATTTTTTAATACCATACTTACAATTTCTCAAACAGCCTAAACCGGTTTATACTTCTTTTATAGATTTTTAAATGACTTGCAATATAATTAATTGGCCGCATCAACTAACACAACATTTTCCCACTCTGTTTACCAGTGAGACTGGTTGTGGGACGTGAGCGCGTCTCGCTAACGTGCTCTGAAAGGACGTTTTTTTTTTTTTAAATAGCTCCGTTCTCTTTTCTTCAATTGGGCTGCTCCTCTGAAGGTGAGCGGAGACAAAAATCCCCCGTTTCAGACAAACCGCTACCGGGGGGAAGGCGGCCGGATATCCGAGGTTTCCTCTTTGTCTCACGGTATGGCCTCGCTCGGTTGAGGTGGGGGTTCTTTCAAAGATTTTGCCTCCTTTTGAGACCCACGGATTCACAAAACTCTGTAAAAAACAAACCAAGGCACACATGTGCGAGCAGAGTGGAGGGGCCCGGCTCATTGACTCCATGTAGCTCAGGACGCAGGGAGCCCATGGAGGCGTTTTTTCGTAGTAAGGGGAGATGCTTCCAAACAGCTCTTTCATTCTGTCCTCCCTCATTGTTGCGTGAAGGTATGAGAAAGTTGGGAAAGTGATCCCCGTCTCACCCGTAAGACAATGAGCGTCTGATCCGTTCCCAGCCCCGGCCCCCCACCCAACCACACCCACAGAGGAAGAATTATCTATTCTATCCTATTGGCTGATGCATTATTAGTAGTATGTTGTATTCTACAGCAGTTCCTTTAGTTTGAATCAGAAAGGACATCTTGAGAGGGAAAGTTTTACTGTATTAAAACATACGCTGTTAATTCAGCCCCGTCCTTCAGTCCTTCATCTTGTGTATTTAAATGTGAGAGAGCGAGGATAAACAACTCCACCTTGGCGGGAGATTCTCCACTGACACGTGCATGACTGGAATTTAGGGGATTTAATGGTGACCCCCTGCTCCTGTGATGTCCATCCCAGCGGGGAGGGTACCAGAGGGGGATGCCATGGGCGCTTTACCGGAGGGGAAACCTTTACCCAAAGAGCCCACAGAGGTGCACACATGACACACACACACACACACACGCACACACACACACGCACACACGCCTGTCCCAGAGCTACAGCCGAGGCCCCTTAGTTCAATGCATCACCGTGATGAAGCACTTGGATCAGAGCAGAGCCAATCCGTCCTTCATCACTGTGACAGTGGCGGCGGCTGTAGAGAAGCGCCCCCTCCTTGCCCCCCTCCTCCTTTGCTGCCCAGGCGGCGAACGCAACACATCGCAACGCTCTCTTACACGTCACCCCGCCACTCCATCAATCCTACGCTGGGGTGGAAAGAGAGCGAGCGCCGCTCATCAGAGCGGACGGGGCCACACAAACGCCTGGGCTGAGCTCCTCAGAGAGGCGGAGCAAGACATCGGCGCCGCTAAGGTGGGGTTTCTCTGCTGAGCCCGCGTGGTCCCAGCAGGCAGCACATACACCAGCAGTATTTGGAGGCAGTTGCCCCTAGATTAAAAATGTCCCTGTTGGACGCGGCTTGGTTGGATAGGGGAAAGACCCTGGACACACCCAAAGAAACGGTGTGGAAGAGGTAGAGGCCGTAGACTAAAGAAAACTGTACAATGGTTTGGCCAAAACACTGTCTTATGTTGAAGCAACGTAACCATTTTGGGGTGTAGGCAACAAAACCACTTTATTAGGGTTTAGGCACATGAAGACTTGTTTGATCCACTGTTCTCTCACAACCACCATTTGTTTGGTTCTTTGGTCTTTGTCTTCCACTCGAAAGGCCTGGTGTGTCCATACTGAAGGGTGCCTTGTGTCCGGGTATCAGACAAAGCGTACAAAGACATTTTGACATGTCAGTTCTCATTCTCAAACTGGCCCCAGTCTCTAAAAACACCAGGCAACGGCAGCCTCTAAATACACAGACGCCTTCAAATCACACTAGAAACACGGCAGGAATCACGGCTGAACCGCAGAAGACAAAGGAAGACAAAGGGGAGCGCAGGGAACGAAAGCACATGGAAATGAGGGAGAAAACGGGGGACAGGTGAAGACAATCAGGGCGGGCAGATGCTCACACAGGAAGTGCAGTATGCAAACCGAGAGACCACGGTTTGAATACCAAAATAAAACGGAAACGTTTATATAGGGCTGTGCGCTTGAAATGGTAAACGGTATAAGATCACTGTACGCTATTCATTTTCTCTGCGGGCAAAAACTACCAAACTAGGCAACTCACAGCGCAAACATTAATCGATCCCGTCACATCAAAAGTTGTTATTTGAGTGATTTAGTTTCTTCAACCATCAATGAATGAGAAAAGGTTCCTGAGTCCGATGGTGTGACATCCTCCCTCCTCACAAGTGCTTCCACTACTGACGCTAGCGTCACTAAATTACCGCGTGGATGCGTAAAGAGTTCGGCCTCGTCGGCTCCACGAACACACGCAACGTGCTGCAAACGCTATCAGAAGACATCAGAGTGTCAAAAGTGTTGGTTTGATCGCCGTGATTCCTCCAAAAAGCCGTCAGATGCCCCAGAGAGGGAGAAGGAGTCGGAGCTTCTCGGCCGCTTCACGGCAGACGCTTGCAGTGAGCGGAGCCATCAATCCTCCTTTGTCACAGATTAAAGTGCCATGCATTGTTAAACAAAAGCGACCCCCCGTGAGGGCGGCGCCCATCTCCAGCGTGTGTGTGTGTGTGTGTGTGTGTGTCAAACGTGTCAATCAACCCTGAGCCCCGAGCGTCTCCGAGCGCCTCCGGAGAGAGGTGTTCCGGTGGCCATCAATATTACATGGTGCTCCGGTTTCCAGCCTCGAGACTCATCCACTTTGATTCCTGCCCCCCCCCTCTCGCCCCCCCCCCAACACGCGGTGCTGCTGGGAGGTTACAGGATACAACCCCGCTCCTCATCCCCCACTGGCCACCCCAGGTTTGAGTGGCAGCTCAGTGTGACGGTTGCATGCCGAATGTGTTTTTTGGGGGCAGATCCCTGTGCAGCCGAGTCGACCCCCCCGACAGTGAGAATGTCTGATTGCGTTTCAGATGTGTGAGAGACGCTTTTATTCGTCTCACTGCTGCGATCACACGTAGGACAAAGGAGGCATGAATAAGTGCTGGGGTGGAACTTTAAAACTTTGCTAAAGTTTTGCCATATCGCCGACAAAAATCAGCACGAGTTCACCGTGAGCCGGGGTTGGAGCGCCTGCAGCCCCAAGCGCGTTGTGCTGCTGAACTGAGCCCCAGGATATGTTTTAGTTTGTTTTAGGTGGGGGGGGGCTTTACTCTCAGCTGGGGTTGATTTCAGGACATTGTCCTGTGGACATTGAAACCTTTCTGATGAATACTTTATTCAGCGTGTTGTTTATCCCCCCCAGTGGCACTAATTCACTGTGTCAAACTGAACGTGGAGATCTTCTTCTTATAGTCATTACAGTATCCTTGAATCAGTTACAACTATCTGTAATAATATCCTTAAGTCTTTTGTGTTACCATGCATTAATGATAAAAGTGTTTTCACTATCTTCATTGATCGGGCCATGCTCCTCTGTGACCAAATCCACTGCCGAACATGGCGGTCCCACGCGCGTTAAGAGATGATGGGGCGGGGGGGAAACGCAATGTGATGCAACGATCAAAGCCCGCTATGTAATAGCATTTCCATAATCGCTGGGCTCCTCCGTCTTCTGTCATGGCTTTGGGAGTGTTTGATGCTTGGGCAGGTCTCTTAATTAGCCGTCCTCCCCATCAGCTGTCTGCCTCCCCTTCTGTCTCCCAAATTGCAGAATTTGTCGTCGTTGTCATCGTATGGCCAGAAGACGGAAACAGGGCGGGGGGGCAACTTCCAAGTAGTCACTTCTGCTTACAGGCAGCATGTCGGCCCCACATTTCAGTTTAACTAGGGAGGGGGCTGTGAGTTTGGGAACGGTGCGTTGTGATTTCTATCACATATCATGTGCATTTGTTTATTTGTGCCTGTGATTCATCCGCTCTAAACTCCAGTCCGGGCGGAGGCGGCTGAAGCTCCTCGACCCCGTAGGCCCAAATGCCCCAATTTCTCGCCCTCGGTTTCTGTAATTAGAGAGGTCATTCTGCGCCACGAGTGTATGTGCGCGTGGGCATCTGAAGAAACCGATCTATTTTGTGTGAACTTTTCTCGCTCTGCATCTGGAAGGAGGGGAAAGCCCTCGGCGAGACCTTTCATTTCCATGCGCTGCACACTCCATTAAAAGGGACGGGGGAATAAGTAAATACACAGCACTCCCCGCACTGGGATTTAGATATACACCCTCAAAAGAGAAGAAAAAAAGAAACATCCCACAAGGATTATAGCAGATGAGGAGTGAAAAGGGGGAGGGGGGGGGGGTCTCGGAGTTCACGTGTTTGCGTCTGAGCGTGTCTGCGTTCTGGACTCGGACGCTAACGCGCGCCGTCCTCACGCGCAACGCCCACAACTCCCCATCCTCATTCCCTGCACGTCGCTCTTTCTCCTTTCGCTCACGGACCTCGCTTCTCCTCTCACCCCGGCCTCATTACTCAAATTAGGAGCTGCAGTAATCACCGCGCGGAGCCCCCTTAACACACCTCGCTCTCGTCATCCCTTTGAGCTCATGCCCCACGGAGCAGTAGCCCATCCGGCAAAGGCGGCATGAATATTGCAGAGCTGGTGGTGTAGAAGGGCCCCCTGGTTTTATTACTAACGTGTGATTGTAATGACACACTGATGTGATGGAGAGCCGAGGTTGATGTGATGATGGGTAGCTATCAAAAAGTGGTACCTGTGAGCTGCTGACGCGAATCTCTTAGCACAGAGACCAGCAACAGCTAGCTTGGCTCCAATGCTAACACCCTCCACAAACTAGCAACACTAAAGAGCCTTATTTAGCACCTTGTATCTTGTTTCTTTTTTTTTTTAAACTACAGTGTAACAGAGACAATTGCAAATTTACACGGGATTAGCCAATGTAGCTATCCTGTGCGAATGAGTTAGCCAAGGATACGTTATCCCAAGATACGTTAGCCAAATTTACGTTAGCCGGCAGCTGGCTTTAGCTTTACGCTTAGCAACAGACACAAGTGGTGTCAATCCACCCGTTTAACAGTATTTACCAAAGTATTAGTGTGAATATCAAGCAGCACCTCTCAGTTACATTTAGCTCTGTTGACATGGCACTTCTTTTATTAATGGCCGTCTCTTCACCTTCCTTCCTCTCGGCCCTCAGGTCCTGGAGCGCCTTTTCCAGAAAGGCTTCAGCGTGGCGGCGTCCTGCGGAGGCGGCGTGGACTCGTCCCAGTTCAGCGAGTACGTGTTGTGTCGCGAGGACCGACGGAGTCTCTGCCTCAACACGCCCATCAGGATAAAACAGGAACCGCTGGACTAAGGCATCCTGGGAGAGGGACTGCCGGCCCTACCAACGCTCCTTCCACCCCCCCCCCCCCTCACCGCCCCGTCCTAACTACCCCGTCGCAACCAGCCCCAACGCACCGAAGTATTAGCGGAGGCGCGTTAACCTCGCCGCCTCTGCGGAACTCTTAAGGGGAATGTAGTACCAAACCAAGGAGAAAAAGAAAAAGGTTTTAATTATGTGAAATGCGCCAGAAGAATCTGGGACTGTGATGAAAACAGCAACGACGACTCGACTCACGCAGCTCACTTGAACCATTTTAGCACCGTCATTGGTGGATTTTCCCCCCCCCCTGTAATTCTTATGAGAAAGAGGTTCTCAACCCTTTTTGGAGTGACACAACTGGCCCCTCCTCCCAACACACACACACACACACCACCCTTCTTCTGTCAGTGGTGTATCACCCGGTTGTGTCGGTATGAGGCCCATGTCTGGTCTGCTGAAGGACAGGAAAGCATCGGCAGACAGGACACTGTTAAGGATGGCAGGAAGAGGACATGATCTCATCTTGCGGATCCCCCGAAAAGGGCCCAAATCGACCCTGAGGCCCCCCCCCCCACTCTCCACACAGGCCTGGCTGCAGACGACCGGGCGCCTCGCCGAAAGACAGCATCGTTCGCCAAACTGATTGTTTATTACAATTTTCATTGTTGTTTCTAAAGTATGTTCTTCTTGATCTTTTTGCTGTTCTTCTCATGACACGGTGTAAACAATTATTATTAATAGGATTCATTTTAATGTCTCTCTTTTCCTCTCTCCAATATGAAGGATGTATGAACGTTGTATTCATTAGGCTTTGAGAGCTTGCGAAGGGAGCGATTTCCTGGCAGGAGCTTCAGAAACTCGGATGCCCGCAGGCTATGTGGCTAAAGCGATCTGGTTGGCAACGAATTCGGAGCCGGAAAAAAGTCCCATTGTTAAAACAGAGATGGAAGAGAACCTGGATCTTAGGAAAAAACAATAAGAAATGATAGTCCAATGTCTAGCACACATACAAAAAAGTGCTCTGGAATTCCTGCCTATTAGCTGTAGAACATATCTCGGGTCTCTGATCTGGTGGGCGAGAAATTTTTCCTCGTATTTAGCAGAAGTTTCAAGAAATCCAGGTTGAAGTTGCACAGGCTCTAAGTGTATTGTGACTTTGTCGAGTTAGAATGTTAAAGGCTTAATGACCAACGTGGAGGTTTACCAGTATGTCTCGTGCTCCGCGAGGGGACGTACTCTAAATGCTCAAATGTTTCTTTGCACTTAAATCGTTTCTTACGGCGCTGGTCGGCCCCGTTCCCGCCCGACACTTGTTTGAACCCTGTCAAGCAGTTTTATTGTCTCGTGTTTCACTAAAGCGCTGAAAACAAACAGAAGTTGTGTCGATTTTGTCTATATTGCCAACGCCATTTGAGTCTCCATCTGTAACAGTTTATAGCTAAAAAAAACAAGAAGACACGATGCAGTGAAAAACTGAACAGAATGAAGAGCACCAGAGTAGCTCACAGTACCTCCGGACTAAGTTTGAGAGACAAAGTCTTCGCCTGTTTTAATACTGTCACTTCTAAGCCCAGATTAGTCCGACGGTTCTTCTCATGTATGTATGGCAGAACCCGGTGTGAACCGTACTCCCGGCCTCCTCCACAAAGAGGCGAGTGGGCGGCATTTACTCTCTCCCGCTCCCGTTCTCTGGGCCTTATTCTCAAACATTTCTGCATCAAAGACAGAAATACAAGAAAGGCCAAGTCTTCAATGCTCTGTATTTGTGTGTAACTTACAGATGCCGTTTCTTCCACTCTGAAAGACTGATAAAAAGGAGAAAAAAGAATAGAGAAGCCTATTCTGACCGTTGTGAGCACTGGCGTTTGTTTGAGTTTAAAAACGGGCCTTAGCTTCTCCGACTACGCTGCCGCAATATGTGGTCTCGCCGGATGGCCGTTGATTAAACAAGCCTGACGGGAGTCCGGAGCCCCCCCCCCCCTCCAGGGGGGTCTCGCTCACAATCAGGCCCATCTTTGTTCTGACCTGCGCCTTTGCATCCAGTCGCCTCAAAGGGAATGGTCAACAAGGCCTTTTCATGTCGGGCATTTCACAGCGCTCCTCGCCCCCTCCCTTCATCCTGCCTCCCTGAAGGCTCGCATCTCCTCCTACCCCTCCCCATGGCCACCCCGCTGTGTCATCCCCATCCCGGGCTTTTCTTATTTCTCCAAAAACTGACCGTGGCCCCGCCGGACCGAACACTGCTGCAGACCAGAACTGATGAGTCAAACGCGAGTGCACCCAGAAGCTACTGTAGAGGCAGGCGACTCGCCCCCGCTGGTGTGTGATGCAGTCGGTACGAGGCGTGGAACGCCACCGCGGTTTGTCCTTGAGCAAACACAAGCCACGTAGAGAAAAGGAGCGTTGTAGTGCAACCACACGTCTGCAACTACTGCCTTTTCTGAGAAGAAGGAAGATGAGGTGCAGTTTTCTCACCTATGTGGCATTTAGAAATCACAGAATGGACTTTCGGATAAAAACACGAGCGGTCGTTCCCACCTGAGCGTAAAGCGAGGAAAAGGAGCACAACTGGCAGTTGGGGGCTTCTGCCTGCAATGAGCGAACCAGGGGGTCCCACTTCCCGACCTGCCGTTTGAGTGAAAAGTCGAGTGCAAAAGGTCAACAAACTCTGCAGGGTTGGGAACTTCATAGGCATGCCCGCCCCCCCCCCGCCGCCCCCCACATCCCCTCTCTCCCCCCTCCGGATGAAGTGCTGGTCAGCGTTTCGGCCAGCTCACACAGAATTCACGCCACCTCGGAGGCGGGTCAGCTGTACAGTTATTGTATATTGAACTACAAGGACTCGGGGGTTTTACTGGGCCGCCGTGTTTTTCAGAGACCCCTCTCGTAAAAAAAAACAAGAAAATGCAAAGAATACAAAGCGTCGCATTGTGTACATATGGATTCAAACGTTTCAAAAGGGTATAATAAGGTGCAAATGTATATTATTTAAAGTGTTTGAAAACAATTAGACTGTGGTATTAAAAGGGCATGTGTTCATTTGCGGTGTCTCCATTTGACTTTTCTTGCATATTTGCGATAATAAAAGGATGTACTGATGTATACCTGCCTGACGTGTGTCTCATTGCTCAGGCAACAGGAATCTTCTGCTATTATTACGTGTGCAAAGTGGGAAGGTCGTCTGCGGGGCCGACTCCGGATCAGCGCTCCACGGCTCCGGAGGGACTGAGGAACCCCCCCCCCCAAAAAACAATACGCTCCCATGCTCCAATATTTTGCACTGAGTTAAACAGTTTGGTCTTTTCAGAAATGTTTCTGCTTAATTAGCAGCAGAAACCTAAGGGGACTTTTCATCAGTTTGTACTTGCATGCATGTGCAATGTTAGAAATGGAAATGAAGCGGGCTGAATTAGTTGACTTTAGTAAAGCGTCCCCGCATAAAAACACACAGCATCTTATTTTTTCTTCTAAAGAGTAAGAAATGAGGGAGGGAAACATATTGCCTGGTTATTGAGTCATTTTAGTCAAATTTACATATTTTTTTTATTCCTGTTCAGACTCCAACGCTGTTGGAGTGAAACGAAAGAAGAAATGGACAAAGTCATCTCCGCTCCGTTTAGTAAACAGCGTGTTTATTCCTTTACAAAAGAGGTACAAATACATAAGTATTGTTTTCTTCACACAAACATGACATTTTCAAGATATATACAAGAGTTTACCAAAAATAACGTGGTTCTAATAAACACATAGTAAACAATATTTACAAATCACCCTTACATTGAAATGCCTTTCCTCTGTAATATTGTCCCACTATTTTGGCTAAAAAGCTGCAGTAGTAGAAATGTCCTCCTCTAAAACCATAAAAATCCTTAACAAAATTATTTGAAATCACCACAATGGGTATTGGTGTGCTTGTTTTTAAAACATGGTGTTTGGAGATAAAAATTATGAAATGTGTTATCGAACAAAGGCCAATCCCAAAATAAAATAAAATGTAATAATTGTTAAAAATAACTTTATTTTAACAGGAAGTCGGCAATATTGTTTACTATTTAAAAGAGTTATTTCTTTGCTATAATACAGTGACAGCTTTCAGTCGTTAGGTAAAATAGATATTAAAAAAGTGCCGTCAAAATGTACAATGCACAACAGTTGTTTCAAATGTCACAAATATTTAAATACATTTAAATATGACAAGAAAAGCTGCATAGAGGCCAAGATATTTAGTTAAATAGAAAACAAGTACTTAAAGGACAAACTTACATAACACAATTAGGATTTGTAAAAAAGAGAAAATAATAACTAAAACATCAAGGCGACGTGTAAAGAGCAGGCGTTTGTCCATTTGTCTCTTGAATACAAATACAGAGACAGAAACGAAAAGAAATCAATTCTAGGCTGAAATCAGCTGCTTCCTTCTACAGTTCAACATTACGTTACAACTGTGAAATTTCATTTAGGAGGATGCAAACAGGTAAGTGCTTTTTATCGTTCAATCACTACTAAAGCAGGTCAGGGGGATAACGGAGGCTGCGGGGCCCGACAGCTCTTCTGGAAAGGGCTAAAATATTTTCTCTTTAACGTCATTAATGTGCAGACCGGACAGCCGGAGTGAAAAGATGCAGGAATGAGCCGAGGTTTCACTCTGCGCGCTCACCGCCCCACTGACACTGTGAACCAAACCCCCCAGAGCCTGTGAGAAGAGGTGAGCGGGACAGTGTGCGACGTACAAACATCTAACGTTGGTCCTAGAACCATGTTCACATTATGCATTGACAAGAACGACCATAATTAAGTTTGGTGACCTTTGTAGAAAGGTCACAGGAATTCCACCGTACGACAAATACAGGTGAATAGAATGAATGAATTGGGACTTATTTGAATGAAACATTACGTGAGATATAAAATATTCATGCTGTGCAATGATCCAATGAGAACTATTTACACGTTCAGGGACGTTTAGCACGATGCTGTTAATTGGAATCCTAATGTGTAAAACCGTGTCTCGCTTGTTACCGAGTTCGGCTTAACTGCATTCATTCAACCGGCTGCACAGTTTTCTCACCAGAATATACGGCCAACGACGTCAAATAAATAGATGCCCGACACACAGAACGAGTTGCCGGGTCACTAAAAAACACTTTGTACTTTTGAAATATGCAACTTCAACACAATTCAATATGGCCTTTAAACCCAACGATCTAACCACACATCGCAAATCTAAAACGCTTTTATTTTTGTCTGTATTTTTTCTCCCCCTCTCGTTCTTTCAATCTCTTTGTATTAAAAGTTACATCAAACGTCACTACAGTACATATGGACACACAGAACTGAAACATTAAACCTGATCTGAAGGCACGTGGCTGAGGAAGAGGAGGAGGAAGAGGAGGCTGAGGTCGAGCGGAAGCTACTTGAGCAGGGCGCGGTAGAGCAGGAGGGAGTGGGCCGTCTCTCTCTCTTGCTCCATGTAGAAAATTAAGTCCCTGAGGTTGACGCGGGTGATGCGGTTGCGCGCGTACTGCCGCGATGAGGTGGACGGGCTGGAGGAGCTGGCCGGGGAGCCCGCCGCGCTGCCTGGAACCTGCACACAGGGGTCAAGAAGGTGAGGGGGGGGGCACGTCACACAGGCTCCATCACATGTCAGGCAAGGGCACTGTTGTCTACGATTATTTTGGCCTTGGAATAAAGCACGAGAAGATATATTCAGCTTCTGACAGACGCCCGGGTAGCTGCAGTGAAGGGGGGGTGCTGTCGGGGCTCGTGGGATGAAGCAACAATTAGCCTAGCCAGCGGCGAGAGACATTCGCGTTCCCCAGAAGATGAACCGGTACCACCGCGGTGATGGACGTTTTCTCTTAGTCCACCATGAGTTGAGCATTCCCGTAACCATACCACCATAACATTTAATATGCCAGAAAAGATGTAGTTTGTTATCTACAAATACCTGATAATGTGCTAATTATCAGGTTAGCATGCTAACTAGCACAACTAACGTGGACAAGAGGTGAACAAACCATTGTACCTGCTCAGCATCAGTGTTTGGACCACTGTACCATAAGTGTTCCTTATGTATTAAACTTTTTAGGAGAGCTGTAAAAAAAAAAAAAGCATTTTGTTTTGCATTTTTTTCTTACTTTCTTTTCAGTGAAGGAAGAAAATCTTTGTGGCGCAATGAGGGGGAGGGCGAAGTTTCCAGGGTTAAACATAGTAACCGTTAAGAAAACAAGCAACGCTATGTTTCCCATTTCTCATAAGTGACGTAACCGTTGAATGGCTAACACATTGAGGGTGTCAATGGTAAGGAATGCAAAGTATACACCTCCAATTAGGAAAAGTAACCCCTCTTGCAGAGCACGAACGGGATGGAACGCACGCTCTAACAACCTCCAGATCTCTGGGTTCATGTTGGGAGGTTTTTTCTCTCAGCTGAACACGAGGACGGAGACACATGGCAAAGCTTCCCGGCTGCAAGGGAAACTTTCATTTTCACTTAAGCGTGTCCTTTGGCTCTTTACGTCGCCCCGCGAATACGAACGCATTCCCCTTTCTAAATGAAAAACGCTGCTGACACGGAGCCCCCGCTTGTTTGTACTCGATCCAGGAAAAATGACTAGACGGCGTACACAGAGGGCCGATCCAACTCGAGGCCAGCATTTACATTCGGGAATGAGAAACACTGGGACACGATTCCAGCAAGTGGCCACTAGAGCCCAGGCAGAGAGAAGCAGGACAGACGCTCCAGTCGGGAACGCCCTCCCACAATTACATTGATTGCAGCAGTCTGTAAACACACGGCCTTAATTGCAAACATATGACGGGCCTGGGTTTACAAGAACCGAGCCAAATTCCCTCCAGCACCGCCCTCCCCCACGGGCCCGTCTCTCCGTGTGCACTCGCGTGGCGGTGTTTGGTTGGGTCTGGCCTCCCTCGGTGTTCTCTCTGACCCCTGGAGGCTGGATGACGAGGAGTGAAGGCGGACGGGCCGCCAACTGGCCTCAAACCACGTCAGGGCCCGGTTTGGCCAGTTGGCGAACCGACGCCGCCTGTTTCTGCCTCTGGAAACGTGGCTGATGCTTGTGTTGGGAAGAGAACGACTTCGTAGCAACTGCGTGAAAAAACGTAACGCGTGCCGATGGATGTGCTGCATTTAGAGTTCGAATAGGCTCACAAACGGAAAGATGGACAGCGACGGCTTTAGATATGTCGTGACACAAACACTGGAGAGGCGAGCTACAACACAGGTACCCAGACAAGACAAGAGCCATAGATGTGCTCCTAGGGACAGTCAACGGCCTGTCTTCATAGTGGGGACACGGGGCGTCTGATCTACTGAAGCATTTTACTGCAGTAGAACTTTTAATGCAGGACTTACTGGAGAGCCCCAAAAGAAAACCCATTTACTGTATTCAGCAAACAATTCCCCTAAAAGAATAATAAGTGAGATCAACTCTTGCTATGCAGGGAAGCAGGACACATGGAAATTAAAAATATAGGTGGTGAAGACAGTTTAATGCCTGCAGTTACTCACATCATCTTGTCCAGTCAGACACTGTGAGGAAATATGAAGTATATAATGTATGTAGTTGTTTTCCTTATTGGAAAGCAACTGACATGCAAAGCCATTTTTTAGTTAAACTAAACAATATGTTCAATCAGTCAACACAATTCAACACGGCCCGGGCTGATTCCAGGACTTAATTATCATCGCCGCTCACTGGTCACTGGTCTCTGGTCAGTGGGGCCGAGCAGCGATGCTGAGATGCCGGGCGTGCCCCTCCCCCTCCTCCGCCCTTACCACCACCAGAACCTCGATTTGAGGAGCGACCTCAGCCTAATCAGGCCAATTATAGGCCGACCGCATGTGAAAGATGCGCCTGCCTGCTGCCGTGCCAATTACTGCCACTCAGGAGCGAGCGAGCCCGGCCACGGGGCCACGGATTTCACTCAATCAAAGCCATCCATCCACCTGGACGGATGGGCAGCGGCAGCCACGGGCGGTCGGTGCCGGGCGGGCGACGTTGGGGAGGGGCAGAGACAGTGAGCGCAGCCATATATCGCCGTTTCAGGTAGTGTGACCCTGCTCCCAGAATGCATCATTCCCCTCAGGGAGAGCGGCAGCCCTCAGTGATCCAAATACAGGCGGAAAGGTCAGGAATTTACTGTCTCTGCACCCCCCCCCCCCCCCCGCATGGCAGCCAACCCAAAACACGGGCATATAGTTGTTGTATCGGTATCTATGGAAACCGATGCCTCTCACCAGCACACGTAGGAGATGAAGCTGTGGAAGAAGAGGAGCAGGGACGGGTGGGCGAGGGTCGGGGGGGAGGGGGGCGCACACACCGACACTGAACAAAGCAGATGGCTGAGTGTCAGTTAAAGGGGAAAGGGACACATCAACCGCGCTTTCCCCCCGTCGCCAGCAATTACACAGCAAATGTGTCTGAAATCCAAGGAGAAACAAAATGGCAGGCGTTGTAAGATCACAGTGGATGAAGAGGAGTAAAAAGTGGGAGGATGTGAGAAAAAGCAGGAGAGCAGAGAGAGAGAGAGAGAGAGGGAGAGAGAAACCGAAAGTCTCAGAATCCGCTTGGCCGGGAAAGTTCCATGAGGCAAAAAACAGCATCTGTCATTTTATCTGTGATGGCCGCTTGGAGGCATTATGTCATATGACATATCCATCGTACAGAACGCGCAGGGATACTTCGATACATCTCTTCAGACGTTTGACTTGTTTGGAGCAGAGAGAACAACAGAGAGAGAGGGAGAGAGAGGGAGAGAGAGGGAGGGCACTGGATAGAACGCGAGCAACGGGAAGGTGAAGAGGAGGAGAAGAGGTGAGTAGAGGAGAGGAAGAGGAGAGGAGTAATAAGGCCTCTTTTCAGGCTCTGGTCTTCAGCCACATTGTGCTGACAACGTGCCAATGAGCCGGACACGTTACTCACACACACACACACACACACACACACACACACACACACACACACGTTCCTGCACAAAGAGGCAGCCTGAGCGTCACAGTCTGCAGTGTGCACCACTAAAGGAACAAACTACATGAAGGACTTCAGAAAAGGCCCATTTTCACACAGAAATCAAACCATCGACTGGAATTTCAATAATTAGGATTAACAATGGTGATTTATGGATGTTCCAACCGTGGTTTAAGTGTACTGGAGTAATTGTGTAAGCAACTTGAAGAAGGACTATACCATATATATTACTGTTGCCACTGCTTGGATTGTGATTAATAGGCTACCAGGCAACTTTACAACCATTTTGAACCTGTTGTTATTAAAATATGACACATTTCTTCGTCTGAACTTTTAGTTGAGCTGTAAATGTTTGACCTTCAAATCCCTTCTTGGTAAATTAAAAAAGCCAAGTCAGAAAAAACCACAAAAAGGAAGTGAAAAACAAATGAAAGAAATGGCTCATATCATGTGTTGGGGCCATGTTTGGACACTTTGTCTATCGTTGAAAGACAAATCCGACTTTCTTAATATAAAGAAGAACATGTTGGTGTTCTCGGGCCTCAGATGACCAGCAGCACTCACCTTGAGCTTAACAGAACCACAATTAATTCCCGTTTTGCTAAATAATGTATGTTTTGGTTCTCTCTCTCTGTGCTTTACTCTCTGTCCCCGATTGTGCGGCGGCAGCATGGATGCTTGTCGGTGTCCTGAGGAATTTTTATTCGTCCCTTTTATTGTTTGAGGAGGTGGCGTGTAGGGGGGGTTCTTGCTGATCTGTGGCTTTGAACCCTGAATGGCACCAGTGCCTTCACGCCGGAGCCAATATTGGATTTGGCCCGGGTCACAGCTCAGGGCGGTGGGTTAATGGCCCACTTTGCCAGGCACATAGAGCTGCTCGGCCCACACAGGCCGCCCTGCTGTCTCAGCACTCCACCACCTCACAGCAGAGGAAAACACACACACACACACACACTAACGTACTGTACGTACGGCTAACACAGGCCCACAACCAAAACTGGCGAGGGAGGGGGGGCATTGCTCAGCATTCATGTTGGGGGCTGAAGACCAGCCCCCAACAGATAAGCGGTTCATGATGCAACATTACTCTTTTGTTGTTCTTACTTTGATGCAGAAAAAAGTGGATGCTCCAGGCAGGAGGCCGTATACAGCACAACCGAGACTGACTGTTGACAAGCTAAACAAAGCAGTCGAGCAAAGCTGAGCCAGGTGCTGCTTTTAATTGTCTTGTTCAATTTCACAAGTTAAAGCCACAGTTACAAACCCAGGTGAATTTGGTGCGTTACGGTGGTCCAGTTGTAAGTGCAAATGACCCCTTGCTAAGCCCCGCCTCCACGGCGAGCACGGAGCCCACAGTGTCCGTAGCCACACTCACTAAACACATATCAAGTCACACCTTTGTCCGACTACGATCCGACTAACACCCCTGGATAACTCGATCCGATCCGGTTGACAGTTCGATGTAACGGTGAATCGGATAAGGAACTGGACTTCCGACGGCGTCTTCTCTCCGTTATCAAATCAGCCAATAGCGCCATTCGCATTCGCTGTGCTCCTATTAACATCATGCACAGATAGTAGAGGGATGTAGCTT